ATGTTTTTCCCTATTTTTTTTTCTCTCCAGTGATTTTTACGAAACAAACGAGTGTCAAACGGTTCGAAGCTGTGGACAACGACATCGGGACTGTTACGTAACAGCCTTTACCTAAAAGAATAGAAGCGCGAGTTGCATTTCTAACGACACCACGCGGGGACACGAACACATAAATACACACAGGCACGCTTTGATCTCCGAGGTGTCGTGACACATATTTCACAACAGAATGGACATATTACGCAAAAACGACATTACACTGATTTATACGAATTAATAACTACTTGGAACAAGAGATTTTCGCTTGTCTGGGCATAGAAGAGAAGACTGGGTATATAGGTATATGTTACTTACGTATAAATCCAGCCACGTTGATTCGTCTCTCCGGAGTTTTCGTGCATAACCGACGCGACGGAACACATTTATCACTTGAATCGCGATCCTCGGTTCGTTTCTTACGTAACTAAGGATCGCTAACGGGTCTAGGCATTCTAACTAGAAAAAGGTGAACCAGTTTCTTTTCCTTTTTTCGTGTCGCCGCAGATACCGCTCCGTGTGGTAAATAACATTGAAAGAAGCCGGAGGTATGGTACGGTGAACGTTTTCTTACGTTTATATCGTGTCTACGACTGACAGGATCTCCGATACTTACGGGGGGTTAGGCCACCTTGGAGGCCTGGAAATCATTCGTAAGTTACAGAATTTTGTTTTCGACGAAATTGTGAAATGAATGAAAACAAATTTCGAAGGCTTTATTCTATATACCTTATGGCGTATAAAGAAATTTTTTAACGAACTTACACAAGGATAATAGTTACAACATTTTTTGATACACCAGAAGGCATTTTAGAGTAAAGCCCTTGAAAAATGTTTCCATTTATTTCGTAATTTCGCCAAAAAGGTGACCTACCCCCTAAAAGGGTCGTACGCAGATTCGTGTCGACTGACCGATATGGAAACACTCGATAAAAGTTCTTAGAGGGAACAGAGGTCCAGGTGTGTCTTGTACGTAGATTTCCGCCAGATGAAAAAGAAAAAAAAGGTTTCCTAGGCTCTCGATTCTCAAACGACGGTATGTAATCTCCTTCAGTCGGCAAGCAGCACGCAACGTTACGAGCCGTTATCGGTTTTGCTAATATCGACGTAACTATATGTAACCGTTTTTAGAATGTATAATATCTTTTGCAAACACGACCGTACGGAATACAGTGTGATAATTCGTCTCTCGATGAAGTAATGGAATCGTGTCGAGTTTGATCGCTCTTGGAACTGTTATTTCTTGTTTTTTCTCTCTCATATTTATTTATCTGCGTTTATGATTACGATTATCGGTGTTTACACGTTATCGCAGGCTGTGAAAGCACTCCCATTTGGGGATCGTTATTACTATAAACAAAAGACAGTTGCTTTTTCCTCGTCCACCTTGTATACGCACATAAGATAGAGGAACGTTGAGAATCCATCGGTTTTTCAGTCTTTGTCGGGCGTTTTTAATCATCGCGCGACAATGTAAGTCACACCACGGCCCGATTATTGTAAAACAAGAACGTATTGCTCGTGTGGCCACGTGACGCGTATAATGAGTAGGCATAAGCCGATACCGTCAAGGTATCGATACTGTGATTCTTAACTTGTACCGTAAAATGAATACAATGCTCTTTTTTTTACTAATATAATATAAACATTAAATATTTCATAAACTAATGTCCGTATATGGCTGAAACAAATATCATAAGCTTCCAAGAATCACTATGCTGAACAGTCACCGTTACACCTGGAGACCTCTCCATATCAGTGTCGAGGAGCCTTCGAACACTCATCGAGGATTTACTGTATTTACTTGTATTTATTCAGATTTTCAATTCACCGTTTTCGATTCTTCTTGTATAGTATTATCGCCCCGTTTTAACCTCTTGCCCTACGATTCTCTGCACGTCTGCAGGCTCCACGATTACATTGTTGTCGATAGTTTCTTAAAAACGAAAAGAATTCTGTACTAATCGAACCATATTTTTACTGTTAAAGTTAAATATTAACGCCAGCAACGTGGTATTTCAAGTCGATTAAAAAAAACCGAATAATACTCTTCTTCGAAATCGAATAATAATCTGACTCGATGTGACAAGGGGTTAATCGATTCGTATTAGAACAGTTTCGTTGGAAAAAATTCTACAAACACACCCCCCTGGACGGAAAAAATTAGATTTTTCCCCTCCCCCCTTCCCAGAGTTACAAAATTTTTGCGTAATATTTAATATTGCAGTATAATTTGAAGCATGACCAGCAGCCTCTATTAACAAAACGCATAAATTTTCAACGATTTATGCAGTTTAAAAACAAAGTAAAGTGTGTCTGGCTACGTACAGCCCTTTTCACTGTGCCAGTCGATGTGTTAATATTTTTGCCTCCCTCCCCCTGACTGATAACCTGGCTACGCCCATGTGTGTATCGTAATTCAACGAATTCCCCCTCAGCACCACGATAATCATCGATGACGGTCACGTGCGTACAATCACAAAGATCGATACTCGATCTAATTAACGAAGAAACAGAATATCAAGGGACGTGGGGGCGGGTACTCTTTTACGTGCGCAATAGCATAGAATTCGCATACATTATGAACATGTTCACCTCGTAATCCAACCGATCGACAGGAATCGCGCTATCTTTTTCACGCAAAGATTTGCTGCGTGCGAAGCGAAAGCTCCCCGAGTATGTGTCGTTTGTCATTTATATCTCTGTCGTTTCTGTGTTACAGTTTCTTGAACTCTGGTAACGTGGCCTCCAAGCAAAAGCAGTCAGTGTTTAGCGACGTTCGGGCATTGAAATTGTACAGTAAATTATTGATGATTGTTCGGAGGCTCATCAGGACTGACGAGGAGAGCTGTCCCCAGGTGCGACGCTGATTTTTTAATGAGTTCTAGGACACTTATAGAGCTTGGAATTCTGAAGTCAATGATATTTTTTTTAGCTGCATACGAATATTAGTTTATGAAATATTTACTGTTCAGTGTGGAGGAGCCTTCGAACACTCATCGATGATTCACTGTAATCTATTTAAGGATGTCGCCTGCTTTCGTGTTTCAAGTCAGACTACACTTGAATTCCTCTTGCAAGCCGTTTTCTCCCAGTATGTTCAGTTCTTAAAAAAATCAATTTAACCCGTTGTGTAGACAACCGGCTACTCATTTCTAAATTTCCTTTCTCAATTTTTTATATTCTTGTATAAAACAGCACTTGGTATATTATAGAAAGGGAAAATTAAGAGTTTCGGAAAAGTGTGAAAGTAAAATTGTCTATGTTTAATCTAATCAGTCAGAATAGAGGTATTCTATTAATTGCTACAGAAACTTTTCCTCTTGTTACTTTTCTTCGAAATTTCCACGCTGCGACCGTGGTTCAAGGGAAGCAACAACGACGTAACGAGCTTTCGAGGGCATCGTGACAACGGATAAAATTGATTTAATTGCTAACCGGTAATCGACAACGACGGCCATCCGTTTAAGTCGTGTCTCTATTCGAGGATTCGTCGTCCGAGTTCTTAACTGTTCCAACTTCATTTTTCCACAAAATTTTCGTTAAGGGGTTAACGTACCTTTGAGAAGGCACTTGCCCCATCCTACAAGAAAAAAATTGGATTTTGCCCTCCCTTTCCAGAGTTATACAATTTTTGCATAATATTTAATATTGCAGTATAATTTGAAATATGACCAACAGCCTAATTTTTTATTTAAATATATTTATTAGTAAATAAATGGTGAGCGATCTCCCGGATGTCTCTTCACAAAACGTGGTCTGCTGTGATCACTGTAACTTCGTAACGGTTAATCTGAAATTAAAAATTCAATAAGATATATGTAATGGAAGAACCAATCTTGTCCTTGAACGTGGGGTTTCTCGAAATATTGATTAGGAACAAAATGGCGGACGTTTTCCTGAAAAATTGCGATTTTCACCTAAAAATCATTCGTTTATGGTCAATTAAAAAAAAAGTCCTTCGTTCAAGGACAAGTTTTTCCGATTTGAAATAAGGCGCAAACGGTTTCATGTAGATCGACACGGTAGTTTTCGAGAAATATTGATCACCGATTTGAAAAATGTAGTTTCGAGAAAAACGCGTTTAAAGTTTCAACTCAAGTCTTACATTTATATAAAATGTTCATTCTTTAACGCCTGTAACTCTGTCATTTTTAATTGGATTACCTTAAAAATGTAGAAAGTGAAATATCGATTTTTTTTCAACATTTCTGACTGAGCATGACCCCTTAAGCAAAATTATTGTGGCTACTTAGGCCCAGCAACTAGAAATTTAGTGTGGCCCCGAAGGGGTTGAGAAGTGGAACAACGAATATTTGAACGAGAGACGATCACGTGGATCCAGCGCAGGTGGTCAGAGCACGCGTTGGCTGCTGGTCTACAATAAGCTACCGGTAGTTTTGCCAGACGACAATTCATCGTGTCCGACTGTGTAACTCGAGTGCGACCACGGTCACGTTCATTGTCGAATCGTCTATTCGATGTGTGGATCTTCTTTCCACGGGATGGTCTCGTTAGTATTCTAATCCCCACGTGGAGACGTTTAATTCCTCACCGGCAGAGAAACACGATCGGTAGTCCGTTGCCTCCAATTACCGTTTTATATGGACCGTTTTAAATCTCGAATCGTGTTTCCCTTCATCTCGACGAGAACGCGCGACGAAAGAAAAAAAAAAAGACTCGGTTTCGTATACTTACAACGCACAATGTAACGATCCCCGTGCAAAATTAAACAAAATTTTTTTATTATGGAAGTTTCTTCTATGGAAAAGTATTAGTAACATTTCTGTTCGTTATGAAAATGTTAAAAAATAATTTTTTTTTTTTCACGACGACTTGATATTCACGGAAGTCTCTGTGTTTCCTTCCAGGACCGGATCGTACAGACAGAAATACTGATTTGACGGTGGCATTCGACCAACCACGCTCTCGAGGGAACCTGGTAGCGATCAAAGCCTGAAGTTATGACAACATCCGATGGTGAGTAGTTTCGTCTTTTGTAAATCCTGTGTTAATTTTTATTTAAGGTGGCTCGCGCAAATTCTTCGCAATTATAGTTTGAAAATTTAACAGAACTATACTGTAATTAGATTAGCATCGTTTCCTGCGAACGAACGGAACAGATTGCGATGATTACAAAACAAGATTGTTACAACGCTGACCATCGCACGTGCACCCAACAGATACCGAATATTTATTTATTTATTTTTTTTTTTTTTTCGCTCAAGATGCAATCACAGCCGATCGGCCCGATAACCAACGGATTGTTATCGCTGATGATGATCGCCGATCGTGATTGAATCGGACATTATTATTTGCACTGAAGAATTATCAGGCTTTCTTTTCGTCACGAAAATATATCTGCTCGAGTATGTATCGGGCGGCAGGCACTGGATTCGATCGGATCGAACCGATAACGAAACCGAGTGACACAATTAAAAACCGCTCAAATGGCCTCGAGTGTTTCTACTTTGCCGGAAACCACACGTATGTACATACATGCAGGTAGAACGGAGCTTAATGACACACTCGATAAATCGGAAGAAATCGATATGGCTGGATTAACATTTCGAAATTCCGTTCGATCGGTTTCGATGATCGTGTGTACATAATAGTTGGCGTCAATATTATTTCGATTGCAATCGGAGACGGATTGCCTGGCGCTTGTTTTGCCTTCGGAAAATTTATGATAATAATAATAATAATATTTATTTATAAACTGGTCACGATCCCTTTGGTACAGTACACTGCGTGTCATAACTGTAAAACCACCCTGAAAGTGTCCATTCTTACGTATTTTTGGTTAAAATAAAAATGTACCAAGTACTGTGTCGTGTCTGAAATCGTGTTGAGAAATAATTGTTTCTCCAGAGTAGGATAGATTGTATTCCTTAGAAAAAACAGTCATACCCAACATTATTATGCATTTATTCATGTATGACCTTGAAAGGACCTTGAAGTCTAAACAATATTAATTTACTTACAAAAAATTTACTCTAAAACTTTAAAGTGTTACTCTTTACTCTAAAGTGTTTGGTCGTTAAAGGGTTAAAAATCAAAGGCCTCCGACTAATATCTCTAACACATGCTCACCCTTTTCTCCTTCTATTTGTTCAGGGGTGAAGCATGACCAAACGTCGGAAATCCAATGGCAAAGGATTCACACCGGCCAAGATGAGGATATGGTGAGTGAACGTTTTTTTTTTCTCTATTTATCCCTCTGTCTTGCCTGTGCATGCAAAAACGTTCGAACAAATAAATGATTTCAGCGTGTTTATGGATTCGAGAAGAGCAGCTTGAAAAGCATTCTGACTTACGTCTCTTATGTGTTGAGCATCGGTTGGGTCAGGCTATTCTTCCACTGGTATCCCCGGTTGCACCTCTACGCGACTCATAACAAGTGTCCCTTGAATCGTGCCACGAAATTACTCGTAACCGTAAGGATTCGAACAACACAATTTCATTTTATTTGGATAAGGGAAACAGAAACCGTGTGTACCACCCGAGTTCTTAGTTCCAGTTGTTCACGGGGTCTTGCCACTGCAAAATCCTGAAAAATTCTGTCATTTTTTGGGATTTTTTTTCTTCGGTGATCGATAACTATTCAATAAACGACACTTCATTTATGTTGAATATTTCGTTCACTGAAAAAACAAAAGTTCCCAAATAATGACAATTTCTTAGGGTTTCACTATGGCAAGACCATTTATGGTAGCTCACGCAAGATTTCAATAATTAGAAATTTAGTTGAAAATTTAACGGAACGTTCTTGAAAGCTTCAACATTCAATTGCTACAAAAAAATCGAAAAAAAAACTATTGACAAGAAACGTCTTTCTTTGTATTTTCTTTCGTGTGTGTGTTTATTTTGTTTACTAACTAGAACTAATTGGACCGATATGTCGCGGCAACCTTTACAATTAATTACCTGTTTTGTCGAACGCAATCAAGTAAACCTGCCACGAAACAAGTCATTATGTTCCGTGTGTAGAACTGTAACGCCTCGAGCCTCGAGCTGTCGAAGACGAGTCGTATTCGGAGAATATTTAAAACAAAAAAATAAATAGAACTTCAATTTATAGCTCGACAATCAACAAGATGATTAATCGTTTAATAATCACCGATTACGTATATAGGATAATTATCAAGGAAAGTACAAGTCCTACTTCGTGAAGGAAGTAAAAAGCATTACCGCGAGGAACCTGAGGTTAGTCCGACACCGACCAAATTCTATCACTCCCAGATAGCACACAACGTCTCGAAGACGCCTATTTTACGGCTATTTTAAGTCTACGATGTCTTTAAGTCGTCTACAAGGCGTCATGTGCTATATGGACTCTTTGGTAATTGTGCAGTTTAGCGGACTTTCTTAATTATAGCTATTTCACTATGGTTTTCCTTAAATAACTTGGTATTATCACCTAAACGAAAGATTAAGCGGGGTAGGTCGAACAAGTAACGTCCATTTATTCTTTTTGTTTAAAAAAGCGTGAGAAATTATGAATTATACACTCGACACCGATTTCATTGATCTTTGGATGTGTTATAGAACTCAACGTTTTGAACAACATTTTTTCCTTTACATGTTAGCACCGATTGGCCTTACTTTCCAGGATATTTATAGCTAAAATTAAGAAAAGTCGCTAAACTGCTATTACCCTCTTTTTTTATTCTATCGTAAATTTCATTGTCACACGAGCAAGCCGTGTCTCGGTTTTTCTGTACACGATTTTTATCCGCCTTTACTCTTCCCGCCAGCACGGAAGAACTGTTGAAATTTTTCGACACCAATGACGAACGTCTGGTCGAGAAGGTCAGACGGGAGAAGCTCAGGATCAATCTGGAGAACGGCACGCAATGCGAGGTGTTCGAGTACAGGTGTTTCTGGTGCAAGAAACAGTGTTACGTATGGGACATCACGCAGAACACGTTCTCCAGATTGGTGGGCCTGGACAAGTACACGTTGTGCTCGGATCTTCACTTGAACAACAATCAGGGTCTATCGAAGGAGGAACAATGCCTCAGGTATTCCCATCGGTTTATCGCCAGGGATGGAAAAATGAACAGTTGTGACTAGTTTTTAACAACAATTCTGTTCGAACTTGTATGGATTCGTTTGAGAAAATAAGCTGTGGAATTTTTGTGGAAAGAAATGGTACCGTTACGGACTTCTTTAAGAAGTATTTCTATGGAACTGAATAATAAAAGTTCCATGGAAACAAGTTACTTTAGAACGTTTATTAAGAAAAGGTTCTATAAGATAACTAAAAGTACCAGACTTTGGGTTGTTTTATTTAACAATATAATTTCATGTTTTATAAATTCTATTCAACGTAAACCGTTTATTTATCTATTCCTATAGGAATTGATAATATGAAAACGCTTTTTAACAAAATTCCACGGTCCACGGTTTAAATAGAACCTATGAAAAAGTTCCATAATCTTTTTCAATCCTTGGTTTATCCTCTTCGACGACGACCATTTGTTTTTTTGTTTTTATCATTTGAAAGATGGTTCGTTCCGTTGTTGCAGACGGATCGTTTACGGGAACAACGAGATCATTGTTCCCGTCCAAAGCATCGGCGTGCTGTTGGTGCTGGAAGTTCTGAATCCATTCTACATATTCCAAGTGTTCACGCTGTGCGTGTGGCTCGCGGATAACTACCTCTACTATACCGGGGCGATCATATGCATGTCGTTGCTCGGTATCACAAGTTCCATAATACAAACTCGTAAGGTACGAGAAATCGATATAAGTCTATCCTGTCAAGGAGCCTTCGTACTACAGATCTATATATCAATAAGGAAAATATCGATTCATAAGTAGGCAAATATTGATATATCAATAGTAAGTTGGCAAATATCGATATATCAATAGTCATGAGGCAAATATCGCCCATCACTACTTCGAGCACTCAACGATGATTTATTGCACTTCTCTCCGTCGGACTTTCTCTTTTCGGAACAATTGTGTCTGTAACCCTTTCATTCATCCGCAGAATCAAACGAATCTTCGCGGCACTGTCGCTCTGACGGAAACGGTCCGCGTGCACAGGAGTCCCACGGTATCGGAGACCATACCGAGCAGCGAGCTGGTGCCAGGCGACATTATTGAGTTGCCCAAACATCAGGCCACCGTCATATGCGACGCGGTATTGTTAACCGGCCAATGTATATTAAACGAATCCATGCTGACTGGTGAGTCACACGTTGATCATTTCCGTTTGGTATATTTTTTCGATCGTACCGTCGCACACAATGATGTAAAATCTCCGAAAACGTGGCGAGAATTCCAAAAATATTTTTGTTGTAGAAATTGTGATATTTTGCTATTCGTTATTATAAAATAAAGTGTATACATAGAACATATTAATTAACCGGGAAGGGATAAAGAATATTTTTTTAAAATTACTTTTTTCAATTGATTACATTACTTAGAACTTAAAAATTTCAAGGATTAAACCGCAAAAACAACAGAAAATGAAAAGAAAATTTTGTCTTAAATATTGTAGTTGTTTTTGTATAAGTTATATTATAAACTATGATCACATCATAGTCGCGTAAATTTTTTAAAATTGCGTTTCCACGGGAAACGAATTTTCGCAATGTTTTTGGGATATTTTGCACCATTGTGCGCGTCGACTAGATCTTCGACTGAACCGTCGACACGCATTTCAGGAGAGTCTGTACCGGTCACGAAAACTCCACTGCCATCGCGTCACGTCCTTTACGAGCCGAAAGAGTGCTCGCATCACACGATATACAGCGGCACCACCATTATCCAGACTAGGTATACATACAATACCTACTTGCACCGAGAACCAAAAAGATTTTCCGAAATTTCGGAATTGTAACCGCTAACAAGAGATCTTTCGAATTTCCTCAGATGCTACGGGAACGGCCCAGTACTAGCGCGAGTCATTCGAACGGGCTTTCATACAAGCAAGGGTAGCCTGGTGGCGGCCATTTTGTATCCACCGCCGGCGGACTTCAAGTTCGACCAAGATTCGTACAAATTTATCGGTATTCTCGCGTTGATCGCCACCTGTGGCTTTCTGTACACGATCGTGAGCAAGGTGCGATTCCTCCATCACCACGTTCATAATCTTAAAATCACATTTCGTCGCTCCCCAGATAGCACATGACGCCTTGGACCCAAAATTGCCGTAAAAAAGGCGTGTTCAACGCGCCATGTGCTATCTGGGATGGGACCCACGTATATGGATTGGTTAACTTTTGAAAAATGGAGTTAGAATAGTTCAGAACTCGGGCGACGATTTGTTTGCTTTTCATTTCGCGTTAATCATTCAATGTATGTATCTTGAAACCTCGGATTTACTACCGTAGGCTTCCAGAGGAATCACGGTCGGCGACATAGCCATAAAGGCGTTAGACATAATAACCATAGTGGTTCCTCCGGCGCTTCCAGCGGCGATGACGGTAGGAAAACTGTACGCTCAGTCGCGACTGAAACAAGCACAAATATACTGCATCAACAATAGGGTTATAAACGTCTCTGGTAGTATAAACTGCGTCTGCTTTGATAAGGTAAGATAATTTACCTGTTCCTTCTTTTTTTACCTCTTCCGTAAAGCATTCGTTTGTTCAACGAACAACGCGTTTATTCGCGGGAAACTGAACGACTTGTTGTCTATTTAAAAAAAAAAAAACAAATACAGACGGGTACCTTGACCGAAGATGGCTTGGATATGTGGGGAATCGTACCCTGCGCGAACGCGGTTCTTGGTGAATCTGAACGGACCGTTACAAAACTAAAGAATCATCCCCTCTTCGAGGGCATGTTGGTTTGCCACAGTTTGACTTTAATAGACGATCAGCTCTGTGGTGATCCTCTGGACGTGAAGGTAACGGTTTAATTATCTCTCAGGTATATTTACACATATATCTTCGGCGGCGTACAGTGATATATCTACAAATTAATCATCGTTGTACCGTATTCGATATAATCCACAGATGTTCGAGAGTACTGGATGGATATTGGAGGAACCGGATGTCAGTAATTCGAACAAGTACGATCTCGTGGCGCCGACGGTCGTAAAACCGGCAACGACTAACGCCGTCGCAGATGGCGATCCTAACGAGGTGTCAGAGATCGGTATAGTGCAGCAGTATCAGTTCTCGAGCTCGCTACAACGAATGTCCGTGATAGTACGAACATTAGGGTCCGACACTTACAAAGCATACACAAAAGGATCGCCTGAAATGATACTCAGTCTGAGCAAACCGGAAACAATACCGAAAGACATCATGTTCAGCTTGAAACGGTACACGGAACAGGGTTATCGCGTTATAGCCATGGGTCGTACAGAATTCATCGAGGACGCCGCCAAGGTAATCTCAACCGACGATTTTCTGTATCGGTATCTTCCTTTCCTCCGAGAATTTTATTGCAAACGGAAAATAGTTACAATTTCACGCTATTCAACTTGTGGGTTCGCGGAGTTCTCCCTCGGGCGTTCTAGGGTTAACCGATTGTTTGGCCTAGATAACGAAACTGTCCCGTGACGCGGTCGAGCAGAATCTCGAGTTCTTGGGTCTGGTCATCATGGAGAACAGGCTGAAAGCGCCAACCATACCGGTAATCAAGGAGCTGAGGTCAGCGGACATACACGTTCTGATGATCACTGGTAAATGAGCCTGTGTAGCAGTCGTTCACTGGTAGAAAGCTAAGATGATTTATATCCTTGTCGTACGGGTGTATATACCTATTAAAACAAGTTATTCCAGGGGACAATATCCAAACAGCGGTGAGCGTTGCAAAAGAGTGCGGCATTCTGTCGCCGCAGGAGACTGTGATAGACGTGACCGTGGTCTCGAAAGAAAACAAACTGCAACCGGAGATATATTTTAATGCTCAACAATTACCCCCTAAACTGGTAAACAGCGTTTAAAATTTCGCATCGATCGAATTGCTCGGAAGTCGATAGAACTGGATAGAAGAAATTATATAATACAGTAAATGATGGATGAGTATTCGAAGGCTCCTTCGGCACTGACAAGGAGACAGTTAAAAGGCGCCTTAGACCGAAAATGGGCGTTTTCAAGGCGTCATATGCTATCTGGAAGAGGTTCCCAAGTGTAACGTTGACTTTTTAACGAGGTTTAGGACAGTACTTGGAATTCTGAAGCCAATGATATTTGTTTCAGCCGCATATGGTCGTTAGTTTATGGTAGTGGTTAGTTAATATTCTGGAACCCTCGAACACACTCATCGATGATTTACTGTATTTCTCTACATTCACGCTGTTCATATCTACTTTTATCAACTTTATTTTTTTTTTAAGAATCTCCGGAACAAAAGGCTCAGGATAACCGAGTTGCAGGATATAGAAGAGAACGTAGGGGACAGTAATTATCGGTTCGCGTTGACGGGTCAGTCGTGGCAGTTGCTGCGCGAGCATTATCCGGAGATCGTGCCGAAGATTTGCGTTCGCGGTGCAATATTCGCCAGGATGACTAGCGATCAGAAGCAACAATTAGTGCTGGAACTGATGCAACTCGGTTATTACGTCGGTATGCATCGGCTTCTGTCGTTTCCCTTCTCGTTTAATTGCATTGGATCGCGTACAATTAGGTGGTTTGAAAATGTTTCGTAAACATTCCAGCCATGTGCGGAGACGGTGCTAATGACTGCGGTGCTCTGCGAGCGGCGCACGCGGGCGTATCGTTATCCGAGGCAGAATCTAGGTAATGTTTCTGACCTTATTAATGACTAGTTACTGCGGAGTTTTATGCAAAATCACATTTTCGAAGATTGCTCATAAAGAGAAAAACAAAAGTAGAAATTTTTTTTTCCCCTAAATATCTTATTGGGTTCAAAAGAAAGTAGAAAAGTCGTTGCATCTGACGAAAGTTTTGTCCATTGTATTTCACAGAGACCTATAGGCTATAAATGCATAAAATCCGCAGTCTATTAATAACAATGGCTTTCCTATCGCACAAACACCTTTCCGTTCGAAACTGTACGCTGCAATTCACATCTTAATTTGCTCCTAAAAATATCGAACACGGGACTATAGAGAAAAAAGTCTTAACTGGTACATTCGTCCTTTCCATTTGAAACACAAAAGCTTGTAACTCGTCACGGTGTTTCGTGTTATTGTTTGATCAGGTGCAACCGATCATTGAGGCTCACGGAAGGGGGGGAGGTCGGTTAGTAATTGGCATCTGTTTAACTCAATTTACCTCTGTTGCGTACTAAGCCTCCATTAGGCCATTCTTCTTAATTCCTACGTAAACAAGATGCGCCTGTCAGTTTTTGTAACGAGCCTGGTTCTCGGTAGATACGTATTTACTTTTTTTTTATGCTTTTTTTTGTAGTGTTGCTAGTCCGTTTACATCAAAGGTACCTGACATTACTTGCGTTCCAAAGGTAATAAGGGAAGGTCGTGCCGCCTTGGTGACATCGTTCGGGATCTTCAAGTTCATGGTCACATACTCGCTCACGGAGTTTCTGACCGTGATAATTCTCTACTCGATCGACTCGAACCTGACGGATCTCGAGTTTCTCTTTATCGACATTTGCCTGGTGGTAAACTTCGCCTCGTTCTTCGGAAAAACACGGGCGTACGAGAAGAGACTGGTGAAAAAGCCGCCGATGACCAGTCTCTTGAGTTTCACCACGATCTTCTCCTTGGCCGTGAACATGTTAATAATGACCGTGTTTCAAGCGGTCGCCTATCACACGGTGCGTAATTTTCCGTGGTTCACACCGTTCCATCATACAGGAAGCAAATCGTACAAGTGCTACGAGAACTATTCCGTCTATTGTGTCTCGATGTTCCAATACATAACCATGGCGGTGATGTTCTCTCGAGGGAAACCGTACCGAAAGGCTGTTTACACGAACGTCACCTTCATAGTTTCCATTATTTTAATGACACTCGTCTGCGCGTACATCACCCTCTATCCAGCGGATTGGATAGTGAATTTGCTCGAGTTACTCGTACCGCCGGTTTACAACTGGAGGATCATCATTCTGGGACTTGCGTTTGTGAACTTTGTTGTCTGCATATTCGTCGAAACATTCCTGATGGAGTATATGATCGAGATGAAGTTCAAGTCGAAGATTTACAGGCCAGAGAAGTCGCGAAAGGAGTATCTAAGAATACAGCACGAACTGCAACACGACTCGAGCTGGCCGAAACTTAACAAAGAATTGCCCGTTTTGCCGCTCACGCCGAGCGTGGAGAACATCGTTAACGTGACGTACACGGAGGAACGACCATACGGGAACGAAAACGAGAATAGTATCAATGGTAAATCACGGCATGAAATTACAGGGTCGAAGAAGGGAACTAAAGCATTGTACGCGTTCGACAATCACACGTTTGTGGATGATGAATTGCCGCGGAACGCAAACATGATGACTAGATTTTAAGATAGGACTTTCGAAAACTTGAGGATTTATCAATGTAGAGAAGTCTTAACTGTGGGTGAATAAGTTTCGTTCAAGTTAAGACTTTCAGCGTGTCGAAACCGACGAACAAGGAAACGATTGTATCAGTATTTGTATATAAGTATTATCGCAATACTGCTGGAAACGCTGAAAATCTTCACAGCAAAATGATGCAAAACGAACGTATTACTTTCACGATCCTGACGATTGCACTCTGCTAGAAAGTTGTTCTGTGACATTTTCTCGATGCAAGAATTTATTAATTTATTGACGAGGCGAGATATTCCTGGGTACTTGAAATGAGATACACGTATGTTGACGGTGTGTATTTATTGCAAAAGATATATTCGTTAGCTAATAAAAGATTTGTGCATCCAAGAAATAAAACAAATTACAGATCATTAGGCGAGATCGTTTCTCATCTCCCGATCCAATGATTTCAATTTTTTTCGCATTATCTGTAATACAAACAGTAAGCCTGTTATTTATACACATTTAGAATTGTAAAAATGATATACTTTTAAGCTGTATTTACCTATAATTTCGTTCTGATGTGCTGCAAGTTCATCTTGAACCCAATTTCTGTAACGAAGTATAACTTTATTTATTATTTCGATTGTGTCTTCGTGTATCCTCGGCTTCAAAAGAAGACTCGGTAGTGTTGAAATGAATTCCTTGAATGCGCATTCCCTGCAACGCGTTGTTAATTGTTAGACATAAGGTCAGGTGACGAGACTTTTTAACAATGAGTAATAGTAAACTACCTGTGCAATTCATGTAAACTATGGTCTAACATAATATCGCTAATCACTGAAAATAGTTGCATATGCATCTCTTTCCGTGATTGATTACAGCACGCGTTTACAACCAATTGTAGAGTTTCGCTGAGATCAAGATTATTTCCATACCAGAATTTACTTGCTTTCAGAAATAATGTTCTGAGAAGCTTGGTCAACTGTGGTAAAACAATGTTGTTCGTGCTTGACCAGTTTTCAAGTTTTCCTAAAAGAACAGAAAACAAAACAACGTAGGTATGAATGAACAAAATTAGGATCAGCCGCGTGAAACCGTGTAGACTTACCGTTCAAGTATTTCAGTACACCCGTGGAATAGATTTTATTTAATTTAGGCACAGCTTTATCATCGCTCTGTATTGTTGTGAACCATATATAAATTTGACAGAGTCCTAAATTATCCCCCAAGCAGACATCGTACGACTCGTCCACGGAAAAGTCTCCCTGACGTTTTCTGTTCCTTACCGAGGTGAGAAAGCCCTCCGGTGTTCCTAACTTGTTGTAAGGAAACTTCGAAAGTAAATTCTTTATGTAAGCGTTGTAAAAATTACTTTTGAACCAGTATTTCATGTTTATGTCACATTCTGTATGCAATATGTCTATGCACTCAATTATCAATTGTATAATTTCCACAGCGCTTTTCAATAATTCCAATGCATCGGTCGAGATCAGAAGAGCAGAATTATCCATATTTTTGTCGTCTGGACAGACTTCGATCCAGCTGTCGAATATAAGTGGCATCAATACTTCGACATATCTCATGAGTTCTTCCGCGTCTAAAGCGTTCTCAACCGAATTCTCTTTCGAATTGTCTTTTCGTTCGAAATCAATCTCACAATTTTCAAAGTACGTAGGTACATAAACGGGAACATACCTAGTATCTTTATCTACATGCACAATCTGTGTGGTCATGCTCGAGCCAACAGTCTGTTGTGATTTATAAAAACTAACAATCGAGCTGAACATAGTAGCCAGTCTTTCCAATACTTTTATCCTCCATTTTACATTGGTATCTTTTGTGTTTAAAGTTGTTATTAATTGCCTTCCAGGTTTCATTTCGGTATGTAATCTAGAGATCATGTCTAGAAAGTTTGGTAAAACCTTATTGCTGTTCTTTGCCAAAATGCTGCTACAATTTTGCACAAGTACATCCAAATACAGCAAAGCATCTTCCTTAATACGAGGATCTATATGTGTCATGGCACACCTCAAATAAGAAATCAGAACATCACAGTAAGGAATAAGTTGATCGTTAGATACTGGGCCAACGATCAAACTTAAAACTTTGAAACAGTCGTGCCTTATGCTCCTCTCTTTATCCAGAGACAGAGCACAAATCCCTTGCAATAGAGATCCAAATTGTGAGCTAAACAAATCCAAAGAATGTTGAGACAAAATTTCCTTCAGCTCTTTGATCGCATCTTGTCGAACCGTTGAGTTATGATGTTGAAGACGTGACAACAAATCCTAAAAATTTCATTTGTACTTGGTAAACATTTCGTACAATTCTATGATCATTATAACATTAATTAGCAGTTTCTAATATTACCTTAACGTTAAGTTTCCTTTTGCTAAGAACTTCCGCATCTCCACGCTGTATCAACTGTTCACGTATAACAATCTTTTTAACTTTAAACGTTGGATCCGTGACATTTAATCCTTTTGGTAATTTCTTCGCTTTCAGTTTCACCTTTGCCTTTTCTGACTTCAAGTGCTATATATATATGTACATAATAATTATATGTTTATAGATAATTTGCAAGTCTGATAAATTTTTCTTAAGGGTCAAAAAGCGTTGTATGAAAATGCACTTACAAATACGTTGTTCACTGCAAAATACACTGTAAAACAATGAGAACGAGTGGGATTTATGTTATAATAATACAATACACATTGTTTTTTAAATCTCGTGTTTCTTATGCTCAGGTTACGTACCCACGAGGTGTTGCGTGTGTGTAGGATGCAGATATCATGTATATAGATAAATATCTCTCATACACACATGTTCTCTATAGTGTCAAGTGCCTGTCAAAATTGTAAGTCTGTTGAACTCTTGTGTAGGCAACGGTTACGCTTATGTATTTTAAAACTGAAAAGGTAATTTGTGAATGCAGATGAAAATCTCTGCTGTTGTTTTAATGACATTTTATTCTTAAAGTAAACGTACTACGTTCGGTAGTTTTGTCAAATTCTATTACATGGTTAGGTTAGAATGTTTCGAAAATGTTTGTGCTGCTCCCCTATTACAAATCACAAATCCAATTACATAAATTTCGCATGACGATGCAGTTTTTTGGAAAAGAAGTATTAAGAAAGGCAAACATTTCACCGTTTGTTTAACTTTGTGACAGTGAAATTTTTAACTATTCCGTTTTATCGCAATTTTTGTTTTAACATATTATACCGTCGTGTTAAAGTAAGCTACTTTTTGTTGTACGGATGTGTCATTTCGAAATAAGTATATTTACACTTTCGTTATAATACATTTTTCTTATTGAAATATCCTTTACTGTTTTGTTTGCTCTTTTTTTTTCACAAACATACAATTGTGTTTATCACAAAATTATTCTATTTATTTAGAAAAAAATATACATAACAATTCATGCTATTCAAAATAGTAAGCTAATTTCGTATGTTCAGTATTACATATTCGATTTATTACAATATAAATTGCAATACAACTTATATAATGGTACTGTTTCTGATAAGATATAAGAGATAATGTATCATTTGTACAAAGATAAAGTTGTAAGCAGCTTAAATCTTCAATTACAACTGAAATGAAATCTGCATATTTTTGGAATAAACTGATAGTATGTTATATATAATTTTACAGGTATACACTTTGGAAGGTAATCACAAGATTAAATTGTATATATGTGCAAAGGATGGCATTTATAAGTTAATAAATGCGATAGCAAAGACAGTGAGTTAATAGTTTATATTTATATTCAAGTTTAGCATTAAAGAAAAAAGAAAGTCAAAATGAACACGTCAATGACATACTGCCCTCCAAATATAACATTCAATGGAATCTGGGTAGAACATGGAATTTCAAAATGTTTCATGGACACTATTACTACAACTGTGATTTCGTTGTATCTATTGACTTTTGGTACACTGCAGCTATGGATGTACAACAAATATGGAACAGAAGTATCTGCACTTTTGTTACCAAAAAATAAGCTGTATACTTTGCAAAAGTTTCTCTTATACTTTGTTCCAATACTAAGTGTAGTCAGAATAGTTCTTCAAGGTACGATTCTAGATGACAAAAGAGTTTATGGTTACATGGTAAGCGTTTCATACATTGATGTGCATATATAATAATATTGTTTACTTTCTAAAGTTTATATTACCTTAATGCTTTTAGATCCTGTCAACAGTATTGACTACAATCATTTATTTGTACTCTGTATTCATATTAAAGATAGAGAGGCACAAGCTATTACCTGGTGTGCCTCCACGCGGTCATGGACTTGTTTTATTGGGTTTTTGGACTTTAGCATTTGTCTCTGAGAATCTTGATTTCATTAACATTGGAAAACTGGAATGGTGGTTTCATCTGAATACGTAAGATTAACAGAACTACACAGCGACAAGTGTACTCATAAGTTCAGATTGTTAATAAAAACGGTACACTCGGTCTTTATATATAATAGAGCTCTTTCCGTATATATTTTTGTATGATATTAGTAGAGCACCTACTATATATATATATTTGTATGCTATTTACAGAGTGACCGACCAAATCGAGATGGCACTGTTCATTCTGCGTTACGTCAGCAATCTTCTCATCTTTGCGTTAGGACTCAAAGCTCCGGGTCTGACTGGTAATTTGGATCCCGAATATCGTGCTATAATCGATGGTCCAACTACACGGTCGAGATATTATCAAGGTGTAAGTCATGGAAATGTAATCTTGTTCACCGGTTAAAGGAGACAGTAAATTTTCAATAATAATTTGATATTACGATTGACAATACGATTGTTCTCAGAGAGCCGAGGATACCAGTTCCGCATGGAACAATGCTTTGTATAAGATAAAAACATTAGCACCATTTTTATGGCCTAAAAAAAGTTTTCTACTTCAACTCCGAGTTACGTTTTGCTTCGTGTTACTTATACTCGGACGTTTAATAAATCTGTATGTGCCGGTTTATAATAAAAAAATCGTGGACAGTGTTACCGAAGCTCATGGAATTTTCAGGTATGTAACATTTTTTAAAAGAACCCTTAAAAAATATACGAATGCTGCCTTATAAATACATATGTTCGATCTCTGTGATAGGTGGGACCTGGTATTGATATATGTGGCATTCAAATTCTTACAAGGCGGAGGTACAGGTGGCATGGGAGTACTGAATAATTTAAGATCATTCTTATGGATTCGCATACAACAGTATACGACTAGAGAAATTGAAGTAGAATTGTTCAGGTAATGTCTTTTATGAGATTTACCTTTTGTAAGTCTACTTGACTGGATTTGTCTTTTCATCGTATTCCTATAATGAATATTTCCTCAGACATTTGCATAGTCTGAGCTTGCGTTGGCACCTTGGAAGAAAGACCGGTGAAGTCTTGAGAGTGATGGATCGTGGTACGGACTCTATAAACAATCTTTTCAATTACATTCTCTTTTCCATTCTGCCTACAATCGTCGATATCGTTGTTGCCGTTGTATTTTTCATTAGCGTCTTTAACAAATGGTTCGGCTTAATCGTATTCTTAACTATGACGCTTTATATAGGTAAGTAGATTATAGATCTCAAACGTTCCTGCGACTTGATACGAATTTCACGGAATGCTATAATAGTCATTTATCCCAGCTGCCACAATTATGGTTACCGAGTGGCGTACAAAGTTCCAAAGACGTATGAACCTGGCGGATAATGCTCAAAAAGCACGAAGCGTTGACAGTTTACTTAATTTTGAAACGGTGAAGTATTACGGAACAGAATCGTACGAAGTCGATAGTTATAGAAAAGCGATAATAGAGTTCCAAGCGGAGGAATGGAAATCAATGATTACATTGAATATTTTAAATACATCGCAAAATATAATCGTATGCAGCGGTCTACTAGCTGGTTCATTACTTTGTTTACACATGGTTAGTATGTACAAAATACATTTCATTCCACTTCGGAATAAACGCAATTAATGAGTCACTAGTAACAAACTTATTGGTTTACAGGTTGTGGCTAATCAGGGTTTAACAATCGGTGATTACGTTTTGTTCGCAAGTTATATCATTCAACTTTATGTGCCATTGAATTGGTTTGGAACATACTACCGGTAAACAATGATACTGATTAGTTTCGTGAAACCCCACCCTATGCTATTCACTTGAAAGCCATTATTGTTTTCCTTTTCTTTTACAGCGCGATACAAAAAAATTTCGTTGATATGGACAATATGTTTGATCTTCTGAGAGAAGAGCAGGAAGTAATTGATGCTCCAGGTGCAGGGCCATTGGTAATAAAACGTGGTCAAGTAGAATTTTCAAACGTGACATTTAGTTACGCTCCCGAGAAAGTTATACTAAAGAATGTTAGCTTCGTCGTTCCAGGAGGAAAAACTGTTGCGCTTGTTGGACCCTCTGGGGCCGGAAAATCAACTATAATACGACTGTTGTTCAGGTTCTATGACGTGGAACAAGGTGCGATTCTGATCGACGGTCAGAATCTGAAAACAGTCAAGCAAACTTCGTTGAGACGTGCGATAGGTGTTGTGCCTCAAGATACAGTATTGTTTAACAATACTATAAAATATAATATTCAATACGGTCGTATTGAGGCTGTAGATGCAGATGTAATTGCTGCAGCTAAAAGTGCAGACATTCATGAACGGATTCTCTCATTTCCAAATGAGTACGAGACACAGGTACATGTTGCTGGCTTTTATAGTAACTCAGATTAAGCTTTCATATTATTCAATTAATATTGTGTAATTGAAATTACGTAGGTCGGTGAAAGAGGGCTTCGTTTAAGCGGTGGAGAAAAGCAACGCGTTGCTATCGCGCGAACACTATTAAAGGAACCAGCAATTGTACTTTTAGACGAAGCAACGAGTGCTCTCGACACCCAAACTGAGCGTAACATCCAAGCAGCGTTGAGCACAGTGTGCGCCAATCGTACAACTATCATTATAGCACACAGATTGTCTACGATAATACATGCCGACGAAATTCTCGTCTTGAAGGACGGAATGCTCGTAGAAAGAGGGAAACACGAAGATCTTATTCATTATAATGGAGTGTATCATTCCATGTGGCAAGCGCAGCTGCAGAACGATCAAGAAGTGAATAAAGTTTCGAACGACGACGTTCATCAGGAAACCGATGGATCAAACATTTAGATAATATTTCGTCAAAAAAGAAATTTCATTTGTTGAGTTTTTCTTCCTAATAAAAAGAAGTATGTACCTGTTTGTAGAAAATAATAAGAGAATCTACTTGTGTGTATGAATCATACATGCACGAGTAACTTATTACTAAAGAGTACTAGAAGCTATGGATTCTTACAACAGTACGATCCAACTCTGTTAACTTTATACATTATTTTATGGAAACATTTAATCGCATGAACATTTATAGAAGAATAAACATATGATAGGAATCAAGTTTATGAAAAAAAGGTCAATGTACATGTAGTGCTCATGGAGACTTTACTCTTCTACAGAATGCATATTCAGTTTCAAATAAAATTTTTCACAAAACATTTAGTTAAAGTCATATGGTACATTCATTGTCTTACAAGGTAATTGTTTAAGAAACGTCGGAAATGTTATATTTCTTCACTCTGCCGCTTCTGCTGCATCAGTGCGATCTATGATTCTCCTTCCAAACGCTCCATCAGGTACCCAACCTGTTTCATCAATGGGATCTGTTACGGTCTCCGCTCGTTCTCCCCAAAAATAATAGCTTGCAAAAAATATCCATACAAGGAGGTACAACGTCTAAGTATAACAACAACGATATTTTATATGTGTAATATTTCCGAAATTATATTAGAACAACAAAAACAGAACTTCAAAATCAGAACAGATGTATTACTTTGAAAACTTCATCTTTACCCATACCGATGAGTAAAAATTCTTCGTGTCGACTTGAATTCGTTAACGTTTCTGAGGCCCTTACAGTACTATTATCTAATTAACTGTCACATAATTTACAATACTTTTAGACTGTAGATCCGAATGTTCCTTTTTTCGTTCGTAAATTTTATTTGTAAAATTCCAACTCAATCAATTTGGGTAACATGTCCGAAAAGATTGTTTGCAAACAGCTGATAACCGAATATCTAACTTAATCTGACTGTAACATACAGTAACATATGTGACGTGCATCGAGATGTTTGGATGCAGATAAAGAAACGTGTCGGGTATATTGTTAATTTATTTCATTTATTATGTGTAATCGAAAATGAATAGTCTTGGTTTAAGCTTAATTTTAAAGATGGGCTGCATATGCTCTAAGGAAACTATCACGGTAAATTCAAGGAATTATACAGTTCGTGAACATCTTGGAGAAGGGCAAGTTTAACATGTAACAGATTTTCATCCATTACTATAACAATACTGTTTACTTTAATTCTGGAAATTGGTCAGCAATTTTATTAAATATTCTCTTATTGTATTTCTTCTGTTATCAGTGAAATGAATTTTAACCTACACTCACTAACCTATTTAGTCAGCTGTTACCTTGTAATGGTAATGCTTTTAATTTGCACGTAAAAAGTGTGTTCTACATTTAATATAATTTCAATTTGATCATAGAGGATTCAGCACTGTACTTTTGGCTGAAGATGCAGAGACACACAAAAAGTATGCTATTAAGAAGATCATTTGTCACGGTCTGGAAGACCAGAGGTTAGCAGCAAAGGAAATAGAGTACCACAATCTTGTGAAGCATCCAAATGTAATAGAATGTGTTGATTCTACTTATAAAGGAACAGCAGATCCAATTGTTAATGCTACCAGTGAAGTATTAATTGTTCTACCTTATTATCATGTATGTTTAATATTTTATATGCAACTGGCTTATTGAAATAGTGGTTAACAGTTTGTATTAATCAGATTGATGTTCTTGTTTCTTCTCTAGAGAGGTACACTTGCAAACGAATTAGAAAGACGAGCTAAAACCAATGATTATATAAGTGCAATAGAGATTTTAAATATTTTTTTACAAATATGCGAAGGTGTAAAAGCATTTCACGAAACAAAACCAGATCCTCTTGCTCACAGAGATCTGAAGACTGCAAATATAGTCCTTGGCGATGGAAGTACACCAATCATAATGGACTTAGGTTCGGTATCTTAATTGTAATACGTGGCCTTATTATGTCCAGAATTATTAAATGAACATTGATTGCTTTAGGGTCTGTTGCACCTGCCAGAGTCAAGGTTTGTGGTTCACAAGCAGCTCAATTATTGCAAGATACAGCAGCAGAAAGATGTTCGATGCCATACAGAGCACCAGAATTATTTAATGTTGAAAGTTATTGTATGGTGGACGAACGAACAGATATTTGGGTACAGTATCAACAAGGTTTTTCAAATGTACCTATGTCTCTACTGTTGTTTTCATTAGCCTGTATGTTTCTCCAGTCTTTAGGATGTATACTCTATGCACTCTGCTATTTTAAATCACCGTTCGATGCTGTTTACGAAAGAGGAGATAGCGTTGCTTTAGCTGTCATGAGCGCCAACATTACATTCCCAGAAGATGCACCATACGACGAGGTTGTACAATGATATCTGTTTCTTTATATTCATGAAATAGAAATCTGTAAATCTAATATCTGCATTCTAAATTTTGCAGGATATGCAAAATCTGATTCTATCAATGTTAAAGGTAAATCCAATGGAACGTCCTTATATATACAGTGTTATAGAAAGTGTACATGATCTTATTGCTAAATTGGAGAACAGAGTATAATTGTACCAGAAACAATGAATTATGGGTTTGTTGTTCTGAGAATTAGATATATACAACTTTTTATACTTCTTGTATCATGTATGTCAGTTTCAAGTGTCCATTACAGTAAAAGAGAAAGTCACAATATTATAGTATAATAATGGAATATTGTAGTTCGTTCTTGTACCAGAAACTTGATATGTTTGCATTATTTCAAAATATCATTTGAAATTCATGGAAAATGATTACAATTATAAGATTTAATATATTTAAGTACACATTTTATAGTCTTTTTTACACATACACATGTGTGGTACTATTTTATAAACATGCATTTCAGACACATAACACCACTAAAAATGTTATTGAGAGTGAATATATAAAATGTAAAATATTTTGACCACTGTATTGACAGCTGACAGTTGAATTAGCAATCATCTAACTGTACAAAACTATATATTTGAATATGTATTACTGTGTGCCTGTCCTTTTATAAAATGAATATTTTTTTGCATGTATGAAATAATGAGTTATTTAAATCTGTAAATACAGTAATTTGCATCTGCTCTTCAAACATACATGTAAATTAATGAAATAATATTCATTACACGTCGTAACGCAAATGTTTTTTATTAACAACTATAAAATGTACAGAATACAAAGAAAAGTATGCCATTACATATATCAATTTTTTAAAAAGAAGGGAAATATTACTTTCAATTGTTAGTGTATTCTGTAAAAAAAAGGATCACAATTATATAAAAATAAATGTGTGTTGTGTGAATATAGATTTTCGTTAGATTGTATGCATGTATGAAATCAGAAATTCATCTACAGATAACGGTTGCAAAAATCATACGATGTGACGTGTACTCCGTCGTCACGAATACGTCACGATGGTCCGATATTACTTGAACACAATTCGTGAACGATCAAACGTATTTTGCGGTAATCCTTCGCAATTGTACCGCAGAATCCAACTTTTCGTTTGATACTCAAGGCATATGATTAATGGAAAACGCACAAGTAGAATTATTTTAGTATCGAACGTACATCGATAATTCTTAAGCCGTACTTCACTTCAGTGAACGTCTTCGAAGCTAAGAATGTAAAGTAGTTTTTTTACGAGCCCGTGCTTTAAGTAGTCGCCTTCTTTCCTGGTCCGCCGTATAGTGGAGATTCCTCGGGAAATACATTTTCACGTCCACCTGTGTAACCTACGAATCGTAAGTCACTTTTCTTTATATTTACGCGTTATGTACATATTTGCAATCACGAACTAACCTTGTCAACGTTCAGACTTCTCATAAGAAATATGTACATATATATGTACTTTTAATCGTTTAATGAAAACATAGTTGAAAACTTGTTTGATAAGTCTTGTATTGTACACGCATGAATTGTAGATATTAAGAAACAACAAATCATGATTTATCGTTACGCGTGCAGAACTGTTAATTCAATGATACAGCAGAGTTCGTATCAATTAAACATTACAAAAGACTTAACCTAGCATTAGTGGACACTTCCAACAAATACGCATATCGACAATCTTAATTATTTGTGCGAAAACGTGTTTTACACACCTGTAAATATACATGTGTATTATTTGACTTTTACTTGAGCAATCCATTACATTACATCATTCAAGACATGATGTACTATCGAAATTATCGATTATCAATAACACTTGTTTCGAACCGGTCATGAAAGAATTACGTTTGACTATTTTCTCGTTTGCACAAATTGACAAGAAAGATTTCAGCGTGAATAATATGAGCAACGGATTCGTAAGATTTTCAAATTAGGTAATCAATAATAAATCGTATCGTCTGCCGTTATTTCCTTCACTTTTTAAGATATTTGTTTAATCGGTGGACAGGGGGGTACTTACACGAGGATTCTACGGTTGTGTCGTGACATAGCACATGCTAATCGTTTACGCAATAAATCCCACTTCATTGTAGCGTTACTATATATTACACGAGTTGAAAAACCACGGTATAAATTTATCATAATAAAAAAAACACCAAATAATTATTCAGTTTAGATAATTTATTCCTCTATTAGATCAAAGTACGATTCAAATCTTGAAACACAAAAACATGCTACAAATCGTTCAACGAACGTGAGTTCGATAAGTTCGACTAAATCTAATTCGATAAAAAACATGTACTTTGATTTATCGCTGACGAAGTGAAAAAAAGAAATTAAGCGCTGTGTGATTTTTACCTTTATCGATTGTTTTCTAGAGACTGTTATTAGACAATTTACACTCAGCTCTTCTAGCTGTTCAAAAAGGTCAAGGTTGCACTTGGACGAGGAGAAGATGCTCACAAGAAGTGGAAAGATAAGCGGAGATTTTCCACGAAGCTATTGTAACTTAAACTAAACGAATTTCTGTCGAATTAAAGAATAATTGTCATGAAATGTATATTTATGTAGCATACAAATGTACAGTATCACAGTTATTGAAATTTTCTGATATGTTAATTAGTCCTAATCGCACTGAGAACCATTGTATTATACCGATGACCGTTCTAGAATCGTGATAATCACAAAACTATCGTGTGTTGGTCACTTGGGTGATAGCATTTCTATGTGTCCTTGCACCAGTACATATAAATATTCGAAAAGGTGTTTTTTTTAGAATTTTCAATACATCTTCGCCGTCATAATTCCAACGATTTTCTCAGGTTGAACAATTTCGAGTATTCCATTTCGTTTTCTTAACACCAAATTGTTATATTTAAGTTTTTTTTTGTCACTGTCTACTGACTTTTTGTCGAAATATATTTGCTTTGATTCATTAAAACATCATACTTTATCCGATGATATAATCAATAATAAAAAGAGTTGAAACCTTTATATCTGTCCACGTGTTAAGCAGAGATCGTGTTACGGTCACGTGATCGCTACTTAATCCTCGTACGATCCTCTAAACTTGTACGATTTTGTTCGATATCGGAATATTTTGAATGAAAGCGTCTCGCGTTGTTGGAATGACTCGATGAATATTACATTATATGCATCGGCGATACTTCACCGCATTTCATAATCGTAAATGCGATGCGCAACTTCCGTGTATATAATACCTTTGAAATATGTATATTGTTAATATTTTAGAGGAAAGCCGCGAGTTACGACATTTCTTAATATAAATGTGGAATATCCAGTTGGTTTCGAAAAATTCTTACACCAATATGTTTGACCAATAATAAGAGCAGGACGTGCACCCAACAGTTTCTGTATTGTAAAGATGACAAATCTCGAAGAGATATATTTTACACATTTATATATATATATATATATATATATATACACATACATATTTACGTTTATAGTTGTGTAGACTTCGAAATGCAAAACGAATACAACGCGTGACGGTAAAAAAAAAAGAATGAAAATAGGTTAATATGACCGACCGTGAGAAAAAAAAATAGTAGAATCGTACGATATCTCGAGATATCGTGAGCTGTGTCGTTACTTATGCGCACGGTGTCACTTTGAACGTTCAGTTAACCGCCAGCAGCAGCGTAGAGTGGACGTGTTCTCGGTTTTTCCTCGTTCCAATCTCGTAGGTTAGGAAATATACCGTGAGAAGGTTAAGATCGACCTCTCTTACATCCACTAACTTAAACGTCGAATATTAAATCTCTTTCAGTAAGTGACTGTACTATTGTTTATCGTTTCATTTGTTCGTTCGTAGTCTCTTGTGAATCGCGTAAGACTTTATGTACGGGGAAATTCACAGCTACACCGTTTCAATTAATCTCTAGAATAAATTTCTTCCGGTAGAGCGTTTATCTTTTTTTTTCCACTTAGTCGACGGTGAACGCTGACGTTGTAGTGAGAAAGATTTAAAAAATCAAACAGGATAACACGAACGACCACGTCGCTTAGCAGCCGGAGTTGGAGTGAAAGTATTCGCCCGACACCCATTTACAAATTTCTCTTCTAACGGATTGAAATATCGAAGTATTATTTGAAACACGAATGCCTTGAAATCGTTCGTTAGATATCCATCACTTTGTAATATTCAAGGCGGAATCGATAATGAATTTCATTGTAAATTATAATTTTAGTGTCAGTTCTTGATCGACGAAGTAGATTGTAATCGTCAGCAATCCAAAACATTTTCTCGTGAACAGACTTTCAACAGCGAAGTTTATGAATTTTCAGAATACTCTGGTACATTTCTTTGTACATGCGTCGTTGCTAGAACGCTCCGAAATGTTAATTACAGCAATTTAATTTAAGTTTAAACATTAGAACATCGCGGTCTCGATAACTCTTTTATTAAAATGATTATTGAACGACATCTCTCTGCCAATAGTTTTATGTTAGAATTTGAAATATATATATTCTTGCATAGTTTATGGTCCTCGTCAAGATATAGCGTGGTCGTAAATTAACGCGATTGATGTCGACGTACTTAGGGCTGTATGGTTCTATACAATAAAACGAAAACGACAGTTAACTAACTGTAATAGTTCATTCACTATCGGGCTTACTGTAAATTCTGTTTTAATATTTGGAATATTTGAAAGAATTTTAACTTTCCGCAGACTGTTGCCAACAATAAAAAAGTCAAAACAATATAAACGTCGCTCGAGCATCTTATTTCTCCTTTGATCTCTTAAATAGCTGTTCCGATGCTCAGGAACATGTTTACTTTTGCGCCCGAATGATCTGACGACCACCACGCTATATCTTTGCGAAAACTAGGTACATATACATTACGTGCAAGTACGTCAATGCGCATGTGTTGCAAATCATATGCACGACGATTGTATAACGGACACAAAAAAATGCATATATTATTTAAATGACAAATAGTGTCGGGCATAGGGTAATCGTTGACAATATACGATTAAAAAAATATATACATAAAGGAACGAACAGTCGAATGATTCGTAACTTTTATCGGTGTGCAATTAGACAATCGCATAGATGTTGAAAATTTATAAGTAACAAATGAAAGTTAATCGATCGAATCAAAAAAATGGACTATTTCGACTACCACGGAACAAATTACTATTCGTATAAATTTCGACAAGTTTTGTCTGGCCGACGCTGGAATGCGGTCGGCCGACTTCTACTTTGGAGTCGTTCGGTATAGACTCGAGAATTTTTTAAGCCTAGGTACCTATTATACTTTCTTTTCGTTCCAAATGTTTCAAGGAAACGATTGCTTTAGGATTAGAATATTTTAAATACCAATAACAGATCACTGTTAACACTACTGTAATTTCTACTGCTTGAAGGAAAAATGATCGTTTCCAGATAATACGCCGAGAATATAAGTGAAAAGAAAATGTTGACACACATTTAAATAATTTTACATCGTTTATCGCAGTACATTTACATTTATTCCGTTCGGAGTATTCATTAACAATGTTATGTATCTACTTGCTTTCAGGAACTTGAAAAATGTCCGCAAAAGCAATTCGCGAGGCAACTGGAAAAGATTTAATTAATCGTAAACTTCCTTCTGGTACAAACGCAGTGAAATGCAGATTTGTGACTATTACGGAACAAACAAACTGGGCAGACATAGTGAACAGCAATCCGTGGCTAAGAACAGAGAAACTGGTTGTGAAACCTGATCAGTTGATCAAGAGACGTGGAAAACTTGGCTTAATTAAAGTGAACGCAGATCTAGCCACAGTGAAACAATGGATCTTGGACAGAATGAACAAAGATCAACAAGTTGGGAAAGCGACAGGCAAACTTAGAACATTTATCATTGAGCCATTCGTTCCGCACAAACAGGTGTGCATCAGTTTGGTACTGTGAAAACGTAGGCTTTAAAATACATGAATTAATGGTACAACATACATTACAGGAAGAAGAAGCTTATGTTTGTATCTACTCCCATCGAAAAGCCGATACTATTCTATTTCATCACGAAGGTGGCGTTGACATAGGTGATGTCGATGCAAAAGCCTTGAAATTGGATGTACTTGTTGGAGAAGAAGCACCGGGTCGGGATGTCATAATAAAGAAGCTGTTAGTGCATGTAGCAAAGGATAAAATTGAGTAAGCATAGAAATATTGAAACTTTGTTTCATTTTGACTGTACATTGTTGTGTAAATTACTATTATTTCATTTTCAGAGCCGTTGCTACATTCATAGAATCTCTGTACAAGCTTTACATTAATTTATACTTCACATACCTGGAGATAAATCCATTGGTAGTGACAGACGATGGGATTCATATACTTGATCTTGCTGCTAAACTGGACACAACCGCGGACTTCATATGTAGGCCAGACTGGGGTGAAATTGATTATCCGCCGCCGTTTGGACGAGACGCCTATCCAGAAGAGGCATACATTGCTGACTTGGACGCGAAATCCGGGGCCAGTTTGAAATTGACCATTCTTAATCCATCTGGTCGGATATGGACAATGGTTGCTGGCGGTGGTCAGTAGAAGCGCCTAGCAGTATCATTTACGTGATTAATCCGGTTCATTCTAATCAAATTGTGATTGTCAAGCCGTTATCCCTTGCTTTGGCTAGGTTTGCCCTTATTTCGCTGTACCTTTGTATTCTCAATGTGCTTTCCTTTTCAGGCGCGTCCGTGATTTATTCGGACACGATTTGCGATTTGGGCGCCGCGAACGAGCTCGCCAATTACGGTGAATATTCCGGGGCACCCAGTGAACAACAAACATACGACTACGCAAAAACCATATTGAGTTTAATGACAAAAGAAAAACGCAAGGAAGGCAAGGTGTTGATTATCGGCGGCGGTATCGCTAACTTTACAAATGTAGCCGCGACCTTTAAAGGTATCGTGAAAGCGTTGCAAGAATATCAGCCGAAACTTGTGGAGCACAATATACAGATATTCGTAAGAAGAGCGGGACCTAATTATCAAGAGGGTCTGAGGTATACGAACGATTATTAAGGACTAACCGGTAGCAAGCATCGACGGAATGTTCACAGTTAATCGTGTGCATTTCCGATTTCAGAATTATACGCGAAGTCGGCAAAAGGCTGGGCATCCCCGTTTACGTATTCGGTCCCGAGACCCACATGACTGCCATATGCGCAATGGCGTTGGGGAAAAAACCGATTCCCGATCCCGAGGCACAAGAATTTTCCACTGCGAACTTTTTGCTACCCTCCGGACAGGATGTTGGTCCCGCGGCTCCTCCAAAAAGTACATCTTGCTCGCCCACCAAACAGCCGAAATTAAAACCAAGCGACTCTGTTGACGGAACCACGAACAAACAACTATTCAGTAGTAAAACGAGGGCCATTATTTGGGGAATGCAAACTAGAGCAGTTCAAAGTATGCTAGACTTTGACTTCGTTTGTCGTAGGTCTGAACCGTCTGTAGCCGCTATCGTATATCCCTTCACGGGTGATCATAAACAGAAATTTTACTGGGGTCACAAAGAGGTACACACCTTTAGGATTTGTGTCTTTATGTGGAACAGAAACGATCGTAGGTTTTAATAAAATGTTTGTTGTTTATTCAGATACTCATACCGGTCTACAAACATATGAAAGACGCCATGACTAAACACACGGATGTCGATGTAATGGTCACATTTGCGTCCTTGAGGTCTGCTTACGATAGCGCAGTTGAAACGATGCAATTCCCCCAAGTTAGAACAATCGCCATTATCGCGGAGGGTATACCGGAGAACATGACGAGAAAATTGATTTTGATGGCACAGCAAAAAGGTGTTAAGATCATTGGCCCAGCTACTGTTGGGGGCGTCAAACCAGGCTGTTTCAAGATTGGTAATACGGGGGGAATGATGGACAATATTCTTCACAGTAAATTGTATAGGCCTGGCAGGTAATACAATTATTAAAAACAATTCAGAGTACGAATTCGTTCGCTACAACAAGACAATTTTCTCTCCCAGCTTGGCGTACGTTTCTCGTTCCGGCGGTATGTCCAACGAATTAAACAACATAATTTCCAAGGCTTCCAACGGAGTGTTGGAGGGCGTTGCCATCGGTGGAGATCGTTACCCAGGAACCACATTTATGGATCACATAATGCGCTATCAAGAAAATCCTGAAGTGAAACTCATTGTTTTGTTGGGCGAGGTCGGTGGCGTGGAGGAATACGAAGTATGTGAAGCATTAAAGACAAAGAGGATTACCAAGCCACTGATCGCCTGGTGTATCGGTACGTGTGCCAGTATGTTCAACTCCGAAGTCCAATTCGGCCATGCTGGATCGATCGCCCACAGTAACTTGGAAACAGCTTCTGCCAAGAACGCAGCGCTGAAGGCTTCCGGTGCCTATGTGCCCGACAGTTTCGACAATCTTGGGGAACTGATGCACACCGTTTACAATAAACTGGTGAAGGACGGAACGATTGTACCGGAACCGGAACTTCCACCGCCAACCGTTCCAATGGATTACAGTTGGGCTCGAGTAACGATACATTTAATAGTCGTCGAATACGAATTATGTACATATCCTGATGATTACGTTGAACAATGTAATTTTTTCAGGAACTCGGTCTAATAAGAAAGCCAGCTTCATTCATGACGTCTATTTGCGACGAACGTGGACAAGAATTATTATACGCTGGTATGCCTGTGACTGAAGTTTTGAAGCAGAACGTGGGAATCGGTGGTGTAGTCTCGTTGCTATGGTTCCAACGTTGCTTGCCGTCTATGTATTGTAAATTCCTTGAAATGTCTCTGATGTTAACAGCTGACCACGGCCCTGCTGTGTCAGGAGCGCACAACACTATTGTGTGCGCTAGAGCCGGTAAAGACTTGGTTAGCTCTTTGGTGTCAGGGCTTTTAACTATCGTAAGTGAAGTAACAATTATTTTCGTTGTTTTTACATTGTGCGAAACTGCCAGTTAAATATTATACGGAAACTTTAATGACAGGGCGATCGTTTCGGGGGAGCGTTGGACGGCGCCGCTCGTATGTTCTCCGAAGCGTACGATGCCGGATTACATCCCCAAGAATTTGTGAACAACACGCGTAAAAAGGGGAAACTTATCATGGGTATTGGGCATCGTATAAAGTCTATAAACAATCCGGATATGCGTGTGAAGCTTATCAAGGAATTCGTAATGGAGAATTTCCCTGCGAAACCTTTGGTCGAATATGCACTGGAAGTAGAGAAAATAACTACAAGTAAAAAACCTAACCTAATTCTGAACGTTGATGGTATTATCGCCTGCGCCTTCGTCGATATGCTCAGGAAAAGTGGAAGTTTCACCAGAGAAGAAGCACAAGAGTATATCGAAATCGGTGCTATAAATAGTTTGTTCGTCCTTGGCAGGAGTATAGGTTTTATCGGTACGTACATTTTTTGTTTTCTTTCAAATACTCTTGCACAAAACGAATGGTTGGAAATATTATGCTGTGTCTTAATTACCGCAGGTCATTATATGGACCAGAAGAGGTTGAAACAAGGCCTGTACCGGCATCCTTGGGACGATATTTCTTATGTATTGCCGGAGCAATATAATTGAATTCATCTTCCATTTGCATTTTCTATCGTAAACGCATAATAAATGTTACGAATTCATTTAAAGTTTAGATAGCTGTAATGATCACATGTCATACGTGCTTCTTCGTAGCCGTAAGGACGCATTAATTCTTAGAAAAAGTAATCGAGAGCCGTTGTGCGGTGCACTGTAACTGTACTCATTCTCGTGGATCGAATCTGTATTCTATGATACTACCGTGGCCTGAAAGTTTTTATGCAGACGGTAATCTGTAAAAAAAAATTTAAACAAACCCATGAAATGATAACGGTTAATTGCGTAGTTAAAGAGAAACATTCCACAGAGCATTTTTTTTTTATTTAAACAAAAATCAGGACGCAAATCGGAAATATTCGTTAATTGTCAACTAAAGCGTAGGACCGGTATATTAGGTTTCGCAAACGTTATTTATCGAGTATAACAGAATCGTATCTCGACGAAAAACGAGAATATATTCTCTGTCGACTTATGAAAATACAACTTTATTTGGAAAAGTTTATATTGAAAATATGTCAGCGGCGTCATGTATGTGATGTGCATACACGTATATGTCGTGTTATGCACGTGTGTATCAAAATGTGCTAAATATATTGCACATATTATATATGTGTACATGCTACATTAACAATTTGTTGCACAAATTAGTTTATCATTTATGCCTGAAGTATGCAAAAAAAAAAAAATAAAACATTGCCTTTAAACATTACCCCTAACTTTTAATTTAGCCTCGGTGAAACCTGTAAATTTAATTATGAATAAAGTATTAAAATATTGATATCTCCCACGATTCTAGTGATTCTTAAGAATCGCAGAGGCGGCCCAATGATTTGCACTGATCGTATAGGGGGACTTAATATTAGCAATTTTAAGTTTTTTCCGAAATGAGTATAAAGGAAATGAATATAAGCAACCAGTGTCATGTAAATATGAATTTAATAATAAACTCTGGTAGTGTTTTAATTTGTATTACATCCTACAACGATGGAAAAATATGTATACATTAGTTAGCAGTCAAAATATTTCTATAAGAAAACGTTAGTATTTTATACATGATTTGTATCGGGTGTACAAAGCATATGTAAAATGATAATGTAATCGTGTAAACAGCTTAAAGAAGCTTTAATAAAAATACTCGTTTAACATAACAAGCTTTTAAGTTAAACGAACGTTTAACTCGAAAGTTTGCGTTTAATATATATCTGTGAAAACGTTTACTAATTCGATTAATCTTACTGATTATATAAATTTTCGAGTACAATAATCAATCTCGTGAAGCGAAACGAACAAATCTCGTATATCATTAAGATCACAGGCTTTACTGTTCTTCAGTCAAACTATAATAGTTCTCGATATATCACGAAACGATCGACATCCAATGAATGATCTGAGATGAAACGTGGATTTTATTGATTCTCTGGAACGTCATCTGCAGCTATATTAATAATCCGTTCGTTCGATGGTGATCTGTGACGGCCTAAACGGTATCTACATTTTCTTACTAGTTGTGGAACGATAATATTGTTGTAGCAAGACAGTCCAATGAAGAGAATGGCAAAACCGAGAAGCTGCATAAAACAATAAATAAAGTTTATTAAACTCTTGTTACGTTATTTACGACGACAGCAAAAGACTAACGGCAGAAAACTTACTTGTAGGTAATGGAATGCCTGCCACCCAAATGCTAAAGAGAAACCCCATATGACAAACGTTCGAATACTATCTAAAATCATTCTTGTCGTAGCACTCATTTCTTTGGTAACGCTGATACCCGCGAAGTTAAAGAAGGCTATACTAAACGCAATACCTGTACGAAAAGGTAAATTCATCACTATTAATCTCTAAAGTTGTATCAACGAAGTACATACGAAATATAGTTAAGAGTGTTAAGGAATATACAGACCAATTATTGCCATCAGTAAATGGCCACTGTTTCCAATCTGAATAAACGCATCTTTAGTGGCCTCAAGCGTTCCTCGAGAATTGTCAGCAAACGGAGGCGGAGCGGGTATAAAGTTCAGAGGAATTATTACGATACATATGGTGATAAATCCAAAAATGCCTGTAAAAAATATGTCCTTAAATATTATATTTCAGATGGAAATCTTTCAGACATACCTTCCCAACCGACTGCTTGTAACGCTGGTATGTTCTGGCCAGTTACAAACTTTTCTTCTACAACCATTTGAACAGCACTTACGACCTGTAATAAGAATATGTTTATTTGTAAAGAAAATTTACGAGAAACATTGCATTTGTATTTAGTATAACTTTACCTGTGCGCATATGATAAGTAAATCTCCGGTTAAAATAGAGTTTGTACTCATATCAGAATTTTCTAGACTTAATATGTCACTAAGTCCAACAATAACTAAACCAATTATAACCATACCAATACCTATCCATTCTCTGCTACCAAGTTTTCTGTTAAGAAAAGCCATCGAAAGTATAGCTGTGAATACAATGATGGCACCACGTAACATTTGAAAGCTACTCGCGTATGTCAAATTCAAGCCAACATACATAATAGAAGTTGCACATGTGTCGCATAATGCAGGAATGAGCAGAACAAAGGGATTAAAAGTATGTGAACCTTTCGTTATAGGATTGCTATCCACAGAACTATCCTGTAATTATATATTTTTGTAAGATTCAAAATTTTTCAAGTAGTAAATGCCTCCAAATATATATAATAGTAGATAATACTTACACCTCTGCGACTATAATAAGCATATATAATTTTAAATACCAAAAAACACATCATCTCTCCCACAAACATGAAAGAAGATTGCATGAATGGGTGATTGAAGTGTCTAGGCTGTCCATCTTCACCTTCTACAACTTGTTGATCCGCGTATCTACAAAATATAAAGGTATATTAAATTATATAAATCTATGTTCAATTACCTTAATTGATTACACTTTAATTTAACAGCTGCATGGGCTCATTAATCTACTCACTTCACAGACAAAGTATTGAATGATCCAGTAACGACCAGAAGGACAGCTAAAATACGTTGATAATGCGTCCATGCCATATTTAAATACTTATAATATTCTAGAAAAACACAAGAAATTAATTTATACAGAGAAATTACAATGAAATTATGCAAAGTAGGGAAGATCTACATCCTGCATTACAAACTGCTAACTCAGACAAAATGCGGCAAGATAATACTATTGCTTGAGATAACAAAGGAACCTCACACTCTGCTAATCTAATCAGAATACATGTATGAATACTCCATAAAAATACCATAAGTTTGACTCAATTATATATTTCAAGGTCCTAAGCATAAATTGATATGAGAATAAGCATTAGCAAAAAGAAATACATTTTTCTGTCAGAAACAGTGATTAAATCTGTCACAGAGGGAAGTGTGTCATTCATCCACATTTTTTAATCAGTAGTACTATCATTAAACTTTTATCTACACTGAATATATCACAGTTGCTGTTGAACATAAAATTTCGAACTTTTAATTAATTACAAACAAAAATCATATGGAGCGATCAATGAAAAATTAAGAATGAACGATAAACGATTAATTGCGATTCGTTGCGCGGATGTAAAACCCACGGTCGTGTAAGATATTTTCATTGTGTCCATATAATTAAGGATCCTAATAGTATAATAATTCTTCAAATATAAATTTAACTAACAGTTGCATCAAAAGTTATTTATTATCTTGTATTAGTTCTTGATGTAAATAAATGCAATTACTAAATGTCAAACTAGCAAATGACGTATTTTTTTGCTGCAAGATTCGTTATATATTTCAAACAAGGATCACAACAGTTTCACTCGTAAAACAAATTTTCGGGAGACAATTATAAATATAAGAAGAGTATAACTATCTATTTACCAAAACATTACGGTGCGAAGACTAATCGAACTATAACTATTTAAATCATATGTACCTTCACTTTCGGAGCACGGTTAGGGAGTCTCTATGCAAAATTTTCATACTGCAATCAGCACTGATTAGAAACACATTTTATAGGTATTTAAGATCGATTAAGTAACAAAGATCATTGAACGATAAAGATAAAATCACGATAAATTGATAGTAGAAAAATGGAAGTGAACGTCAGTGAACGTATGTTTCATGTATGTTTCAACGGAGGAGGTTCTCAACTTGTTCGCTTGTTGGCTTATTGGATATAAATATGCAACGTGAACAAAATAATTGTCCACCCCACTCCAACAACTCATGAGGAATCATCGGTAGTAACAAGGATTTCTCCTCTGCAGTGAAAACCACACGCAACTTACAATTACATAAATTCCTTTTCTAAAAAGAAAAGGAATACATCGACTATCCTCGCGACTAAGGCAACGTTTCATAGGTAGTCTTAATGACGAGCCCATTAGCACCCACTAGGCAGATTCAGGAGAAAATGCTCCTTTCATTTTCATTCCTTTCTCTCCACAAGCTTCCTCATATTTTCTTTTTTCCCGCTAAACCACATTAATCTATTACGCCATCTACGGTAAGACATCCAACCTACTAGCCAAATAGTTTCGTACTTCTCTCACTAGATGGCGCATTATGCCTAAGAACAGAAGGATATGTGACGCCATATACAGGAAATAGACGAAGCTGCTAAGCCAACTAAATCCGAATTATTGTCATTAGATGGCATACACCGTATTACAAAGCAGACAATTTGTTAAAAGTACCAGAGTTCTGATCGTGGCTTGAATTAGCAATATCAATGAAAATTGTTCGTGATTTCAATTAATATTACGTTCAAAACTTAATTACGATTCGACGTTGAGTTACGAAAGAGAAGTGATTACAATTCGTACTGTTATAAATGAACTTACCAAACCAATCATGAGTAACAAGTTTAAAATGACCGCCAATGTTCAATCAAGTAAACAAACGTGTATGCAATCTGATAAGTTTACTCCAATTTAAAGAGCGATAATTGTTGCGTACATCCGTTTTTTTATAAGATACGAGTTCTAAGAGGCAGCAAGTGTTCGTAAGAGTATTTACCGCTGAAAGTAATGTTCATTAAAGTATCGTGCACAGTGCTCAAGTGATTTGTACTGCTATTAATTGCGCAGCATATGCACAAGTCAAACGGCAAGAATCATCGCACATGTACATGCTCCAAAATTAGCAACGTCTGACAAGTTTCACAGGAGATATGTAGAACTAAGATAAAAAGGGAATAAGGAATAATTTAGCGTTCCAGCACGATTATTGAAAATTTCGTATGGAAGCGCAATGGCATTTTTGAAAAACAGTGAAAGGTTATCCGAAGTTTTGGATCTGTTTCTGTTGCCAAATTATAACATTGTGTCTACCACTTATCTCGATCTTCTGTTAACCCACATTGTCGAGCATATAAACAAGTGTAAGGAACATTCCATTTACTGGCACTTTCTCATTTGAGTTTAGTTATGTTCCTCCTATTTTATTTCATGTATTCTGATCTACATTTAATTTCAGGTAACAAGAATGACTATGAGCATTGCGTGCTATTCCAGAAATGGGTCCTGAAAGCATTGAATCTTTGGAGTTCAGATGACAAACCTTCTCAGCCTATAATTATATTTACTTTGAAACTTGTAGGCATTATTTCACGTAACGAGTTATGGTTTCATTATTGGCAATCTGAGGATGTATATAATAAGCTGTGCAATATTTTCAAACTTCGTGAAGATAATTTATCATCTTCTGTTAAAATGGCTTATACCACAATGTTGTCAGACTTGATTCAACATCGAAGTGGCAGACAATGGGTTATAGAATCTGGTGAGTAAAATAATTCTAATACCAATACACATATTATCACAGTAAACATAATATTTGTTTTGTAGAGGTTTGGAGAGACATTGTCAAGCATGCACATTGGAATCATACTATGTACGTGACGCGTGAAAGCCAAAATTTTCTGTGGCTTTTACTCTTAAATGAACAGCAGAACACAAATTTTTGTAAAGAAATCATTTTAGCAATTGCAGCACCATTAATAACTAACAGCTTTGAGTCTCAGGTGTGTCAGAAATTTGAGGAGAATTATTTAGAACAGAATAAATTATTGTGCACCACTTTAGATTTATTGACCAGTATTATGGAAAACACGTTGTTCGCGAACGTAGACAACGCAATACCTGAACTATGTCAAGAAGTTATCGACTTAGATATGAGGGTAAAGGCCCTTTTTGAAGCATGTATCAGCACAAAATTATTGCCTCATGTTCATAAACTGTTACTTTTGTGTTTTGTTGTTCCATTAAGACGTGCCATTAGAGAAGAACAAGAAACCATTAGTGCAGATATATCATACAAATTTTGTTACGAGATATGCTACATATCCATGATGCTTTTGTCAAAGAACTATATAATAGAAATAGTAAAAACAAATAAGTTTTTAATGATTTACTGGAAAAAGCTTCAACTGTTGCGTAAATTTGATATATCACAGCAATATAAATTCGAACATCAAGCTATAACCTTAATGGTAAGCATTTTTCGCGTTACGTTTCAATTACACTATTAATAAGTAATTACAGTTTATATTTCTTGTATCAATAGATCATGCCCTTGTGTGTGTGCATTAAGCATACATATATAACTCACGATCTGTTCGATATGTTTATCGATAAAATGTGCGATGTGACTGGTACCATCGTACAGAGGCTAGCATACAATATAAGAGACAGTGTCTATAAAAATGATTTACCTTTACCACATATTTGCAAAGTATCGATCGATATACTTCTAGAAATAACAGACATTATGGACAGGGTAAGTGCATTGTACATTGGAAATTATTATACTACAATTAAGTTGAAATTTAAAATTTCTGTACAATTATGACTGATATCGTAACAGGATATTGCGGTAATTGCGTTTCAAACATTGTGCCATGTACTGAAGAATTTTGTGCCAGAGATCTGTAATGAGACAAGTAATGTAGGAACAAATAATGCGACAAACTTGGAAAACGGATCGAGAAAATATACTATTGTATCCCCGTTAGAAGGAAATCCCATAGTTGATCAACCTGCGTTATTAGCGTCGCTTCTCAATGGTTTGGCCGTGATAACTGAGAAGTTTAAATTGAATTGGCGCGAATGCGTGGAAACTATCTGCTTACTTTCCCTGGCGCAAGAAATTTTAAAGCATGCAGGAATTACACTTGTGGTACACATTTTATGCAACTTACCAAATCTTTTTTTTTATACTGTATACATTGTAGAACTTTGCTTTCAGGTCGCCATAAAAGCTTTGAAAGTATGCAAATTGGCGATACAAAACTTTATGGCACCGAATCTAGTACTTCTCGTCGAAACAGATAATCATATGAACGAAATAGGACCTACTCTTTTCAAAAGATTGCACGACGTGAATTGGGAAGTAAGAGACAGCGTATTCGAAGTCCTAAACACTATTGCTGCGATCTCGGAACACAGTAAGTGCTCGTTAACTGTGACAGTTATCGTACAGTATATACTGTAATGTGTGAAGTCCATACAACTGTTTGCAGAGTATCCAGCATTTCAAGACTTTTTACTAACAAACAACTTCCTAGAAGTGTCTCTTGAAATTGCCAAAACCGACAGTGAAAGTTACGTTCGGGCGTCAGCTTTAGCTTTCATTTCAACCACTGTCAGAATAAACAAACTATGGGAAGAAAAATTATCGCAGCTCAATCTGCTGGTATGTTCTGATTAGAAGCATGAAAACATTAATAGATATATTTGGTAAATCGTTTTTCTTTCTACCTCAGGATCATGCCATAGATGTGCTCAATAACGAAAGCGAAGCTATAGTCAGAAAGGAAGCTGTAATTTTAGTAAAGGAATTATATGTACACTATAAGTGGTCGTAAGTGTGATTGCACGGTAGTAATTGATTCTGTTTACAAAATACTGATTGTTTCATCGTTTAGGAAAAATGTCATTGATTCAATGACGCGGGCAATGTCAACAGCTGCGGTCTTCGATCTTCACTGGGAAGTGAAAACGAACGCCCTTGAATTCTGGAGTCATTTCGTAAAGTCACATCTGTCCGATCAAGGAGTGCTCGACGATCATTTTCCGGAAGTAACGTTTTCCAAAGAGCATAGGAAAATCGTTTCGTTGAACGAAACTGAAATAAAACGAAGACTCAACAAAGCATTAGATGAACTAGCAAAACAGAATTGTTTAGGAGTGAGTAAACTCGTACAGCGTGCTGTTTAAACACATTGTATAATACTCTATTACTGGGAATTTTAGGTTCTTCTAGTTACTTTAGAAGATGACAGTGATTTTGAAGTGTGCAGAACATCAGCAGCTATAATAAGCAAATTGAAATCATTCCTTCTAAAGTACAAACTCGATGAGCCTTTGCCAAAGTTACCTCTACCTAAAGACAGTGCTACAATAGACACTTCGTACATTAAATACGAAATATCAAATAAAATTGCAAATTCGAATTCTGAAGAGAGATTCACCGACTCTACTAACGTAATAGAAGAAATCGTAGATGCCAACGATGCGAATCTACTCGCGTCCATTTACAAAAATTCGATGAAAATGGACGAAGAACCGCAAAGCACGGAGGAGAAAACATTCCAATGTATTTCTTGCGTGACTAGACAAACCTTTCTACAATCAATCTTCGATTCCGATATCGAAACGATCATCGAAGAAAAAAGTCGATGGCTAACTACCTACACTACTAGTTTTGAATCGACATTAGAGGATATACTAACCTTATATAAGCAAGGAGATGTGAATGCAATGGATTGCTACTAATTTAACTACAAACAGTATCCTCTTACAGATACGGTATGCAGTTTTTCTTATAAATATTATCTTTGAATCAGCGTACTTCATTCGTTTCACGTAATCTCGATTTGTAATTTTACATTTAGAGGTATTATAATTAAAATACAACCATGAGGATATAAGAAATACATTTATTGTCTGTAGAAAAGTAAACGAATATCTCTTTACATTGTTTAAATATTGATAGTACAACAATTTCTATGTACTGTTTGTGTACATAGGTACGACAAAATAAAATACATTTTACGGTAAATAATAGTTTTTGTTAAGAAAAAAGAAAAAAGAAATATAAACTTTGTTTATTTCTGGGATATTTGTGGATAAATTCAAATCTAGATAAAAAGAAATTAACTCGAGAAATGATTAGATTTAATGAAACATAAGATGGATAATACTTATATTGATTCCACTTAAATTTGAACGCTCTTTTAATTACCAAAATTTCTTTGTTGACTCTATTGAAGTACAAAGTCGTCGTTTTCTTCTTCTTTACGAGTTTGTTTTTCGTCAAAGTTCATAGGTACGAGCGGCGTCCAAGAAAAGCTACCATTCAATGGATTATAGATTAACACATTGTTTGCAGGTTCACTTTTAACAATTGTCAATGTTGTGATATCGTTACGTTCAGTATTCGGCTCAGTTATTTGCATTTTAGAAATCTCATTGTTATTAGCCTGGTTATCAACTAAATCTTCAGTATTATGAGATGTAGTAGTAGTTGTAGAAATTTTCATAGGCATATGATTCAACTTTTCTGTGGTTTTACTTTCTGTTCCTGGCTCTTCGTTTTCCTTCAGCTGAATTAAGTCCTTTGGTTTTGTATTACTTATAATTGATTTCTTTTTTCTTTTTATTCCTCTGTGTTTTCTCTTATTCAAATCAGAACAAAGACTTTCAATGGTCTTGAAAAAGTCATCGTCCGGTATTTCTATTCTTTTATTTAGTTCGTGTTCCCATGCAACAAACTGGTAGCAGTTTAATGAACAATAGGTTTCATTCAGACAATTTTGCTTTCCAGTTTTGTGAACAACAGGTTTATATGAATTTTCATTGTTATTGCTATCACCTAATATAACAGATTTCAAATACTTTATGTCCTTAGACTTGAAGCCTTGAAGGTCGATGATTGTGCATGATAATTCTTCTGAGGTATGTTGTTGAACATGATGGTTGTGCAAGTCCATGATAGAAGTATTTTTATTTTGACAAAGAATACAGTGATACGATTTCGACATCTGGTACCTGTAATATGTAAATATGTAATTTGTGAAAATATAGAAAGTGCGTTCTTCTTAATAATTACAATAAAATATTCAAATAGACGAAATTAAAATAAATACTTCAGTATTTCTGAACGCAACAGTTTCAACATAAAAGAGATTAACTGAAAAATTAACCTTCAGATAATTGAAATTATTAGGTTATATAAACATCGAAAACAAAATTTTTTCGGAAAGACTGTACGCAACAAAAAGTCATTATACACTAATAGGACAATTACAGTGAAAGTAAACTAGTGAATCATCTAGATGGACTTCATACAGATTTCACAACATAAACTGCTAGAAATGATAGATGTGTGCCCACGTGAGTTCCTCTTAACTGATACGTTTCGGCAAGTACAGAATATATAAATTTGCGACAATGTTGAATGAAACGCGAACTGACTTGAATTTATAACAAAATCCTAGATTTTCTACAGTGCAGAAACCCAACTTAATTACGGTTGCAATAGAAGCGATAATAATGGTAATTGAGTATAACTACATAAATTGACTTACATAAGGCAGCAAAAGCAGTCAAACTATCACGAGTAATTGGATATGAGAAAAAAAATTATATTTTTTAGGGCCATTCGATCAAGTATGTTGCAATTAATTAGAACGTTAGTTTTTCGAACGTTATATAAGACAGAACGCAATTTCTTCGAATCCGACGGTCGATTGTGTTGCAACGAATAAAAGTATTACGTGAGTTGTTCCGTACGGGTTTATAAATAAAAAAATGCAAAACTTAAATAGTCACCGATTAAATTTAGATTGCAAGAAGTTGACCCTTGCGCGCATCGGAACTTGCATCGAGATTTTGGGGTAGGTACTCGAAGATAAATGGACGGGTGACACGCGTCGCGATTGGCCGAGAATCAAACGCTGACCAATAGGCGTCCGTACGAAGAGGTCGTGATCACGTGAGACGTGGACGCGCATGCGCGGTTTTTGATTCCTCTGTTCGCGGTTCGGCGCGGTTTCAGTCACGCGCTACACCTCGGACGGATTGCGTGTACAAGTGTCGTTTATGGTACCTCGTGCGATCAGATAAACGTTTGTGCGAGCCTAAATATTTAAATTGGTCTAAGAGCCGGCAAGAGAACCGGAGCTCTCTGAATCGTGCATGAAACAGTCGTGCGCGCGTGCTCGTTAAAATGTCCTTCTATTTTCGCGACAAACTGAAATTCGGCGACAGACTGCGCGGTAAATCGGGTGATGAACTTCTGCAAGAGATCAAACAGCAAATGGATGAAGTCAGCAAGCCGTCCAGCAGAACGGGAGGACGAGATCCGTCTGAACGACACACCATTTTCCCAAGGGTAAGTGTATGTTGCGTTGTGCCTCTTTTTCAAAATAATAGCAATAACGATAATAATGAATATGATAATAATGAACATAATGATAATAACAATACGAGTTTATTTCGATATTTCTACACGAGTAAAATGAATATACAATTGGTTGAATGTATCAGACTTGGATAAAGATAGAGGGGTACGCAGTTGAAATGCTGTTCTGTAACATAACCTTAAATAATTGTAGATTTAAAAATAAAAGTCAGGTTAAGATAAGCGGAGCTGGTGGCATTTTTAAATGAAGAGCATGGTCGGATGCTATGTAGGTTACAGAAGAAAAAATGTTATGACAGTGGGTATAAAAGTATGTATAAAAAGAAAGTTTCGTATTTTGAAGTTCGATGAGTCGGGATTGCGAATTGTAATTGATGACAAGTAAAATTATATGACAGATTAGTATGATATACATCGACATGGTATACTTCTTCCTTTCAAGGAAACTCACTTTTTCGTTCCGAGAAAACTTTACGATTGGCTTCTCTTTAATCGGTTTAAACGACGTTTTCTGAATACCGTTACCTACATTAAATGTACAATTATTTTATTTATAGAGTGACCCAATTTCTACCTGGTTTCTCTCGCGTGAACGTTGTTGCTGTTGATTTAGTATTCTCGCTAATTCGTTTCGAAAACTTTATATTTTTTGCGAGGATTAGTTTAAATAACTGTGATCTTTGATTCTTAACGAATTCGATGGTTATGCGAACGCGTTCTCATTGTATACATACATATAACCAACTGATTCACCTATTCCGCATTGTTGAGTAGTCAATTACATTAACCATTGCAGTCGACGGCGTCAATTTCGACGATCGTATTGCAATTTTATCGAAACGACATCGTCTAAACTCTAACTGAACGATTCGATGTTCGACTTGGACTTAGGTGACCTTACCTTTTCGTAAACACAAGTTTCGTTAACGCTCGTCACGCATCGATATTAGGTTAAGTCGACTGGTAAATCATGTTTTAAATATTCTTCACTCTTTTTCAATTCGACAATTGGTGTTCAAACCATGATAAACATTGGATAAACCCACTGTGAAAAGGTCGATAAGATTTAATCGCAGGATATCATGAATTTCCGAAGATTTTGGAAGAACAACGTAGTCCGTCGATTTGAAGAATCGATTTAGAATTCTGGTATCGATTATTATTAAACGGATCGATCGTTTGGGATAAAAAGGCGATTCGAACGTACGTAGAAGAGAAGTTTGTTAGACCCTATTTCAGCGTAGAGATTTATTTTTAATTCTTGCAACTGGAAAATTAGGTTTGCCCATACGCAAAGAGTAAAACGAATGACAGTCGGGCGAAAATCACGAGTCATCGGCTGCCACCTTTTATGCCCGCCCTCGTTTCGTTCGACACCGATTCACAATGGACAAGGTTAATCGATCTAGCAATCCTCTCCGAATAACAAATTAACGGTTTTCTTGTGATTGTTGCTCAGCGAGGGTCTGGAAATTGGCCGAACAAGTTCTCGATAGTTAATTCACGAAGGACCACAGACTATTTCTTCTGGTAATATATATTTTCATCTATTTTATTACGATAATTGTCGTTGCATATAATTGTGAGGAAATGTTGATTTCACGATCACTAGGCCTGTCGTATCGATCACGTTCAAAGGCAAGGAGCATTCATGCAACTGTGTAGTATAAATAAATGAATGTTAGGGGCGAGTAGCAAGAAAGATATTTAACAAAAATGTCCGAACGATTTTCGTCGAAGATGCGATATCGCCGTAGAATAAAATATGTGTCGAAGATCGACCGACTTGCGTAGTCCTTTACCGCGAGGGGTCGTTGTACGTGTGTTTCTCGTGGCAAGAATTTGAACGAGCGTCGAAGACGCCCGGTCACGTTTCGAGCGCTGTTCGAACACGTCGGAACGTTCTCGACGACGTCGCCGTCGCCGAGAATCTCTCAAAATAGCCGCCATTGATTCTCTCGCCATTCCGGGGCGAGAACTTCGATCCAGAATAATCCGTCGTATCCTCGATCGCGAGGAATATGGCGAAAGTGGAGGTTAACATTTGGTTGATCGATGTCTTGGAAAGGTTTTTATCAGATGACTTCGATTTCGCTGGGAGAAATTCATCGTTCGTCTGGGGACCGTCATGAAAAGCCTCTTTTTTGAGATACCTTTTCGTCCAGTTCCTGCGCTAATATTTGCGTCTGGAAAGATTAGAAACCAAAGTGTGTCGAGCAGTATGAAATACGTTCGGGTTGAAAAATATCACTGGAGAAAGTACCGTTTCCTTTTCAAAATATTGATACGTTTCGATCACAAAAGGACTCTTTCGGGTGCTCGACGGTAGGGATTAGGATCTGAAAATGTTGAATCGTCATCTTTGAATGCGCCCGATATTCAAGGGAACGGCCATTGAGACCCTTTCCCTTTCGGTTCTGTGAAAAGATGAGAGGGGGGGCGTGGAAGGGATAATCATAGGGATGTTCTGGGTTAAGTAGTTCGTAGAATGCGGAGGGGGATCGAGGATGTGTCACTTTCCACGCGATGCATTGCAATCGCTCGGTGAGGAGTCATGCGGTGAAAATTATGTACGGGGGCATGGGTGTAATTTCCGAGGTGGCTTTAATTCGTGTGTTTTAATCTAGTGATTCTTTCGAATCTCCGGCGCGTCGAATAATTCCCCGAGTCTGAAATCCTTTGAAGGATTTTTTTTCTCCGAAACCAAGCAGCACAGGTGTTCGACTGAATCGGTGCTCCCTTATTCCGGGTATCGACGGATACCTTGACATTTCGAACTTCTAACCGGGGCGAACCTTTTAGCTCTTACCTTTTAGCTCTTACCTTTTACCGCCACTCCCTGTTTCCATCAATTATAATCGATCCTGAAGATACACCGATGGTAGGTGTCGATAATAAAATCTGAGAGAAAGGTCTGCGATTCAATTAATTTTCATATGGCCAATTTTAAAGTCTCTATATTTTTGAAAATTTGTCCATGAAGAGGACAAATAGGACTATATCCTCATTTTTTCAAATTTTTAAATAGTGTCCCGCTACTATAACATTTTTATAAACAAACGTTTGTTAGTTCAACAGTTATGATTTATTGAAAAAGGTTGACACTACATTTGAAGCAGCTGTAGATTCAACAATGTCAAAAATCCTTCTACATAGATATGTTTATATATAACCAAAGACAACAACATGTCCAAGCGTTAACAACATCTGAAATGTTACTCCAAAAAAGTGTCCGATTTCACATGGAATGGCCCGTATAAATATTGCATTTGCGATTAGTCTCTTCGAGTTTGTAGAACGATCCGTTCTGGCGACGTGTTTTCGAAGTGGCTCGTTTCTCTACACGCGACTCTTGTCTTCGAGGTGTACATGTATAATGAGTTACACGTGGTCCTCGCCTGGCCAGGAATACGTCTGGTAACAAGGGAGTGCTTATATTACGTATAACTGACGATGGGATCGAACGTACTGCTAGAAATCGAAACAGACTCGTCCGAAAATTTCCAAGTCGGGGACCAGTAACTGTAACGCACATATGTGAACGTGTCTTAGGTCTGGGTTAGGTTATCTTTATATAGAAATTATTCCTAAAGTCTTTGATAGGAGTAGATATAAGTAAATGGTGCATTTATCGTCGCCAGTTATCAATCTATTATCGTATGCACATACAATACATGCTTCTGTGTACCCTTTAAAGTACTTGATCTTGATCCCATCGCTATCGCTAAAGGAACCTGTCGACCGTAGACGCAATGACGTCACTATGTATACATTGGTATGCCCGGCAAGCGTCGGTCGATCAACCTCCACGAACCTTATGCGCTCCTGACTACGCTATCGATCACCGTAGATCATCGATCGTCATTATCGATGATCGTGCGAGCGATCGAGACACATGGATGGAATCGAGGAGCGAAATCGAAGTCGCGACTGACGAGTATGCATGTATGTATATACATATATGTACATATACTCCCACAAAAAACGTGATCCCATGTCTCGATCAATCGATTTCATTTCCTACTTTTGATTTTCTACTTTCTTTTTGGTTTCTAAAGAAGATTTCCCAGTAGTTTAACTTTTTTTCGATCGTAATTCGACTATCGAACGTACTTTCGAATTCGAACGAGAAATTTTTGGAATTTTTCCTCGTTAAAACTACTTCTTTTCGGAATTATATCGTATATTTTGCAGATAACACACCGCATAATTCTCGTTCACTTTTTTTTCTGCACATAGTACATATATAATTACTTATATGCTTTCGATTGTGATTCGGAGATACAGAAAGAGATTAGATCGTCTTACTGCGAGACATGAATTGCGTGTATAACAGTGAGCAGGTATTTTCATTTGCTTGCAACACCGTTAGATGGCAACACTATTCGTCAAAAACGATCGAGTATCATTATTCCTCGTTTTGTATCCGTGTAGCGGCGTTTCTCTAGTCACACGTGACGCTCCGATACAGATAGTACATTTTGAGCGCAGGATTCGAGGAAGCAGAAGTTGAATTCACCTTTTTCGTAAGTCTACTTCTAGTTGTTTTTTAATTACCCGTTAAGCGACTATTATACCGTAATCGTCGCAAGGAGAAATCTTGCGAGACGGCGAACATATTCTAGACAGCTTTTGTTTCTTTACTGCAGGTTTTCGTCACCTGTGACAATCGTGACATTTACTCCCATTGGTGATTGTACTTATATTTCAAATTTTCAATTCTTGTTAAATATTGAAAGTTCTTCGAATCAATTCCAATTTTCGACCGATCGTGAATTAACATTCATGAAAAATAACAAAACCCCGCCCACGGGTATTTGAAATGTTTGCGAACAATTTGGATACAATTCCTTTCGATATATTTGTCCCGTTTGTGTCGCCATTCGCGGTCGAACGGACTTCTAATGAGAAAATATATCGAAATACGAAAATGCACAATTGTTCCACTAATACTGTTAATTTTAACACAG